TGCTAACAACGGTGTTAACTTCTACTGTCTTGATTTGTGCTTGTTTCTTTGTTTCCTGTAGCTCCTTATAAATTTGACATTTATTTAGAACTCTTATATGTACGTCAGTAGCATAGTGGTTAAGACTCTCGCCGACCATGTACATGGTCCGGCATTCGATCCCCGGCCGACGAAGCACACCTGATATCAATCAATGGTCGTCGGCCAGCAAAATTCGGGCTATCGATATCATATGCTGAAAATTCCATATCTGTACAAAAATAAAGGCGTGGAATCAAGCTATAATCAAAAAATAATAATAATAAAATAAATAATTCCGTATTTCCTTTCATTCCATATTTCCTTGCATCCTGAATACAACTCATCCATTAGATTATTGATCTTATTACATAACCCTAGTTCACTTACACAACTTCTCTTATGCGTTCATCACTTCTCTTGCAATCCTCTTACATGTGCATAAATCAGATTGTACAGTTACCGAAAATGAATTCACCGGAGAAAAAGGTGCCTGTTTGCTGAACCATTTTATCTTGTTTCTGTAATCATTTTGCAGAGAATTTAAAAATTTCAACTAAGTTTTCAACACAGATCACTCATTATGAGCTGAAAAAAAGAAGTATTTAAAGCCTTGAGGTAATAAACGCTTGTCTCTTCTTAGTGCATGACTTCTAAACAATTTTTGCTGATAACAGCATCCGAAATCGAACTTCAAACCAATCGATGTCATGTTATATCCATCATTCAGGCTGTGAAGTACCATCTCGTCATCTATTTTTTTTTCTCTTAATCAATTGGATTTTCGAAAGTGACCCTTTTTTGGGTTGTGAATGCTTACTGCTATTCGAGACTGCCATCGAAAATTTATTATTATTATTATTATTGTTCCCTTGGTTCCTGAGTGGAACAATAGCGCTTCAACAGAATGTCCCATTTTGTTCTATTATTTGCGATCTTCCTTATCTGACTTCACGATTGTACATAGTCGTTAATCTCCCCCTCGTACGATCTACTTTATGTCAGTCTTGGACACACACACACACACACCTAAATAGTCGTTTGCCATTCAGGTTCCACTCAAGCGATGGCCTGGAAACCGATGTCATTCGGCAGTCTTGATCTCCATTTTCTTCAGCATATTTTTTCCACAATAGGTTTTTGATTGGTTCGTTTCCAGAGCTTCTTGTTGCTAATTCTTTCTGGTCATTTGATCTTCACTATGGAATAATTATAATAATAATAATAATTTGCTTTATTCCAAAACAATACTTGTGATAGAGAATGAAATTCTCAGCATTTCACTACACACAGTATTGCATCCAGTTAGTACATTAACAATAAACAATAAATAAAATTCTATATAGATTGAGGGTAATATCAGTTCCTTTTGACAACAACATATTGGCATGTCGGTAGCAAAGCCAAAAATTGAACAGTGTGTTTGAAGATGTTAGAAAAGTAGACACTAGCATATTTACTGGCGTAAGCGGTAACAAAAAGGTCGATATATACAGTGTGAAAGAAAGAAGAATGTTTTAAATGGAGTTTGTAGAGAGAGAGAGAGAGAGAATCAAAGCAGCACACAACAAGAAAAAAAGACGAAAGGAAAAGAAAGAAAGGAAACGTCGTACCTATAAATGATATGAGTTGGAAAGACGAAATCCAGATGTTCTACTGACTATTTAATAAGTTATAGGTATCACGCCTAATGCTTTCTTTATTGCACAGAACATGAGCTAAGTAGGGCATGATTGAGTATTTGTACTTGCTGATGCGAGTAAATAGTTTTCTATATAGGCTTCTGGTCTGCCTGCCTGATGAGATACAAGGGGAGAGTTGTGAATAAAGAGGATGGTGTGAGTTAGATAAAATGGATTGAGCCCATTTTTCACACGAGTCCAAGTGCCTGTCGACTAGAATATTGCATGGAGGATTTAATCATGAGCTGACATCAGTTAGAGAACCACTGGAAAACCTGGGAGTACTGGACAGTTGTTTCGTCCTGGTTTGGGACTCTTCATCAGTAGGGACGAAACAGCTGTCCAGTACTCCCTGCAGGTTTTCCAGTGGTTCTCTAACTCATGTCAGCTCATGATTAAATCCTCCATGAATCAAACAAAATCCCTACAAAACCAATACTTGAAAATTAATCTGTGCTCACTAGTGACTGGCCTATTCAGGCAGTTAACCTGGGTTCTATTGGAAGCCGTGACCAGTAGGGTACAGCAGGTTAAGATGAGCAGTAACTCAACGAAGAAGACATTGCGAATGGTCGAGCATCGTGAATTGGTAGAAGTTAGAATACAAGGACCATGGATGGGTCCCAGTGGCTCGCCTTGTAACCAGAAGGCTCTGGGTTCGAACCCCGGTGGGTGCGTACTGCTGAAGAGTCCTAAACTAGGACGAAACAGCTGTCCAGTACTCCCAGGTTTTCCAATGGTTCTCTAACTGATGTCAGCTCATGATTAAATCCCCCATGCAATCAAACAAAATCCCTACAAAACCAATACTTGAAGACTAGAATATTAACAAGCTGGTTAAGTGGCACGTAGCTTAACCTGCTGACAGCCTTCAACATCCTGTTCGAAATGAATTTAGAAATAACCCAAGTTTCAAACCCATTTAGAAGAAGTGATTTAACATTGGTGTTGAATGTCCGAATTTCATTCTTTGTACTGAGTACAGAAAATGTCCAGACTCATTTCAGAGTGATGAAAATGTACCTTGCCTTTCCGATTCTGTTTTTGACACCATTATCCGTTTTGCCTATATTTGAAACGATGGTGCCTAGATAAGTAAAGGAGGTCACCTATGTCAAATTTATCTCGTTGATAGGGATTGGTACTTGCTGTTGTTGTTGTTGGTTAAAGGTCTTCATCACCTCCATAGCCTCAATGTTCACCTGAATTCTTATCTTTGCCGTTTCTTCAGCCAGTTTTTTTTTTGGTTTTTGCCTGTAAGTTTTCGAGTTTGTGCGACATTAAACAATAAATCATCTACACTCGAAATTCAGATCTCCTAGAGTCTTCTCATCAGTCAGTACAGGGTAATGCTGTTTTATCACTTCCCACAGTCTGGTGGACGCATAATCCAGTCCACCACAATTAGGAATATCGTCGATGATAATAGTCAGGCAGCCAGCCTTGTCTTACTCCTGTTTTACTTCAAACGCCCTGCTGAGTTTTGCACTGTAGATCACATTGAAAATCTTTTCAGTGGTATTTCCTTTTTAGTGATTGCTTTGTTGGTGTTCTTTAGGATCAATACTTAACATAAAATAAATAAAATTCAGAAATAAGTTTCAGTGTGATGTGCAGTGACCAGTCGACTGAGTTATGAATCTTCTTGATCCATGTGGCTAGGCCACGTTGGATGCACATCAAGCGGTTGTGTTCGAACATCCATAACAATGGCTTAAGTGGAATAAGTTTAGAAAAGAGTTAAGATTGAAAAAAAGTAAACATGTCACTAAATTATAAAATCATTGACTGAGGTATTAGAAGACAGTGATTGCGAAAAATTGTCGACAGTCATACAATTGTATTTGCTCCATACTGAAGGTCAATCAGATGGCCGGGCCGGAAAGAATCACCACCAACAAGAAACTATGCGAACAAAAAGAAAAGAGAACAAACCAATCGCTCAACAACAGCAAATATGCAGGAGAAAGTGGATTGGACACTCGCTGACGAGGCCGCCGCTGGATGATATCGCGCGCGAGTCAGGCCATTCCTCAGGTGGAACCAGGCCGAAAGGGAAGCGGCGAGTCGGACGTCAATGCAAGGGTAACATGGAGGAGGTCGTGCGAAGAGGAGTTGGTTGGAACACAGTATTATGGACTAACTAACATGGATGATGCAGGTGAAAAGTACGGCAGAAGACAGAAGCAAGTGTGGCAAGTGGAGACGTGCAGTTGAAGCCACATGTTCGTTCCACTAGGAACCCAAGGGAACAATAATAATACAATAATAATAATGCAGTTGTATTCACTCTTTATCATTTCCGGATTCCCAACAGCAACTTTCATTTCAATACCACAGCACAGATTGACATAAGTATAAATCTCATACAGAATATTGGTCTTTTCAAGGATTTTGGATACCGCTTCCCCCGCGCAAACTTAAGCTTCCTACTGATCGCTGACAGCCACTTAATATCTTCCTCACATACCTGTGTACTGCAATGTATGCTTTGTGTACGTCTCTACAGAGTGTGAAGACTATTTAGTAATGGTGCACCATTTTATGCAAGGATATCAAAACCAGAATCGGAAAAGCAAGACAAGTTTTCATCATTCTCATCAAGTCTGTGTGGAGGTCAAAAGCACTCACCATCAAAAAATAACATCCAGATATTCAACTCCAATGTGAAGTCAGTGATATTTACTACACGGATCACAGACTTGGCGCGTCATAAAGAGAATCTCAAACAAACTTCAGACCTTCATTAACAGTTGTCTTCGATCAATACCACTCAAGATCAGATGGCCAGTGAGAAAAGATCAGCAACAGGGAGGGATCTCTGGCAATGAGCGAACCAATTCAGCAGGAACCGACTGTGAAACAAATAAGCAGGAAGAAACGGAGATGGATTGGCTGGCCATACTCTGAGGAAACAAATCATCAAGTGACATCACTAGACAAACCATTGCTCGAGTGGAACTCGATTGAAAGGGAAGCGGCCAGTTGGTCGTCCCACGGTGGGGTGACTTGGAGGAGGAGGCCATGTGAAGAGGAGATGAAAGCATGTGGGCAGACTTTTCAGCGGAGTGAAAACGTTGGCAGAAAACCGAAGGCAATGGAGACTTGGGTGGCTGAAGCCCTACGTTCCTCTAGGAATTAAAGGATATAATAATAGATAATAATAATAATAATTGTATGCGAAGTTTTTACACTGATTCATCGATTAGTCCATTCTCATATCTGTGTTATTTGTCCCCCTCTCTCATCATCTAACTAATAATCTGATCAACTTTTCTGTTCCTAAATGTTCTTTTTCAGGTTATACATACAAATTTGCCGAATAACAAGCAATTACCAATATCAACAAATTCTTCAAAATATCAAAAATCTACAAAACAGTCATCGAATAATAGAAGACGTTCAATGTCCTTAGCATCATCAAATTCATTATTTACGATGACGACAACGCATAAATCAAGACAATCATCAGCAGCAGCATTATATGAAAACAAGACCAGCAGGAGACATAATTCATCACAGAAATCTGTTGCCCCTACTTCTACTACTACTACTACTACGACTACTACTAATACTATTGCCAATCCTATTCGTAGAAAACATACTTCCATGGATTGTAAAAGACCAAATCATCGAAACAATATTGATAAAGTTAGGAATTATCAGAGACAGAAATCAGCAACAACAATTAGCAGTCAAACACCAACAACGACTAGTATAAAGCATAGACCAATAAGCACTTCAAATATTAGTAGTAGTAATATAAACAGAGAGAAGTCAGCAAGTAAGAAAGCGGCTGTTTCCACAAAGGTGGTAAAATCAACAGGAACAACAATAACCACTACTCATTCTACTACTCAAGAAGAATGTGTGAAGTAAGTGCCGACTGTACTATTTTAAATGATTATTATTATTATATCGTTTAATTCCTAGAGGAACATAGGGCTTCAGCCACCCAAGTCTCCATTGCCTTCGGTTTTCTGCCAACGTTTTCACTCCGCTGAAAAGTCTGCCCACATGCTTTCATCTCCTCTTCACATGGCCTCCTCCTCCAAGTCACCCCACCGTGGGACGACCAACTGGCCGCTTCCCTTTCAATCGGGTTCCACTCGAGCAATGGTTTGTCTAGTGATGTCACTTGATGATTTGTTTCCTCAGAGTATGGCCAGCCAATCCATCTCCGTTTCTTCCTGCTTATTTGTTTCACAGTCGGTTCCTGCTGAATTGGTTCGCTCATTGCCAGAGATCCCTCCCTGTTGCTGATCTTTTCTCATTGGCCATCTGATCTTGAGTGGTATTGATCGAAGACAACTGTTAATGAAGGTCTGAAGTTTGTTTGAGATTCTCTTTATGACGCGCCAAGTCTGTGATCCGTGTAGTAAATATCACTGACTTCACATTGGAGTTGAATATCTGGATGTTATTTTTTGATGGTGAGTGCTTTTGACCTCCACACAGACTTGATGAGAATGATGAAAACTTGTCTTGCTTTTCCGATTCTGGCTTTGATATCCTCGTCAGTTCCGTGGACCTGTAGTTGAAACGATGCTTCCCAGGTCGGTGGGTAAAGGAGGTTGTTTCTTTCAGGTTCCTCCCATTTATGCAGGCTGATTATTGTCTGTTGTTGCTGTTGGTCAAGAATCTTCATCACCTGTGTTTCCTCTATGTTCACCTGTAGTTCTATCTTTGATGCTTCTTCCGCCAACTTGTTTCTTTTCGCTTGCATATCTTCCAGTTTGTGGGAAATCAGACATATGTCATCATCGACGAAGTCCAGATTCTCAAAGTTTTTTGTAAGAGTTCATTTTATGGCTATCTTTTTCCTCATTGCCCGCCACTGTTTGTCGCATTTTCCAATCTACTTTAATGATTACTACTGTTATATTATGCTTTCCTTAAGTTCTTAGGGAAAGACAGGGCTTCAGTGACTTTTGAGGGTGAAATGTGGACGGTGGGGGCGGCGCGGAATTATCAAAGCTTGTGGAGCTAGCTAGTCGTTGAGCTGTCTGATGAAAGTGGTAATTCACAGGTGTAAAACAACGTTTTTTTTAATTAAATTTTAAATCACACTATCTATCTAAGATATAGTAAGATTTTAAGAGAAATAGGCGTCTTAACCAGAATTGGGCGGAGTAAATCAATAGTTCTCACTGTGTTAATTATTCTTACTAAACACTGTGAAAATTCATCCTAGTCAAATTTGTATTCTGGTTGAACAACGTGTAATGTTGGTGTGGTTGTGTTCTCTGATTTAGCAGCAAAGCTTTCATTGTCTAATAAGGCAATCCAGGCGAGAGAAAACAACAACTAGGTCACTCACTTGAACTGCGCTTTTTCAAGAAAAAGATAGTTGGCCAACGTGGTCGCAAGTTTTTAGATGCCTCTTGTCTGAAAGAATCGAATTTTGAGCACGATTCAGGTAGTCTATAGAGCCAGACTTAGTTGCCGATGAAGGAGGCTAGCCTCCAAACAAGATGGTTAAAGGCATATTCTGGCAATAGCTTGACGATTGCTGCTAAGGGTGAACCAAATCATACGCTACTGTGTAACTCTGTACATATTTCTTGATATAAAGATAGTATTTAACTGCGTCTGTCGACAGATCGTATGCCGGTTTTTATCTGTTATAGACGTTTCAGGTAGGTATTCACATATGTCACCGCGCGAGAGCTCATATCGATCAAATTTGATCACATTGTGATAAATATATATTCATTTCTTAACATTTTCCGAATTCTCGCACATTTTTCGGTATCTCCGTCTTATCGTTCATTTCGTCATGCTAGCTCCTGCCTGTACATTTCTGTAGCATAACGTTCTTGCCCCCTATTTTGTATGCATTTTGAAAGTGTCATGTGTGTGACGACTTGAAGTAATGCGCACTTCTTCGCAAAGTTGCTGTACACAATGATTCATTAGTTTACCCTGGTTTTTTATTCTATAGTGAGAGAATTCACTTAGGTTGAACTCATTATCGGTTAATGACAGTGACAAAATCCTTTTTTATCTATAATTTCTGATGGTTCAGTTGTCCATTCCTTCATATCTGCCCTTTGTGATTCATTCTTTTGTATAAGACTTTATACTACTAATCATTGATAAGTAGTTTGGGTTTATTTACTCCATAATTGTGAGTTTGTTGGATAACAGAGTTTAACTCACTAAATGTATTAATACACTTTTTGATGGATAGTAATTATTTTCTTAGAGCTAAACATTTATTTATTTAAGTGTTGGTTTGTAAAGTTTTGATTAGTTGCAGGATTTCATCATGAGCTGACATTAGTTAGAAAACCATTGGAAAACCTGGGAGTACTGGACAGCTGTTCCGTCCTAGCTTGGGTCTCTTCAGCAGTACGCACCCACCGGGATTCGAACCCAGGCCCTTCTGGTTACAAGGCTAGTGACCTCGTATACTGGGGTTTTAGTGATAATTCGTGACCAGTAGGGTGCAGAAGGTCGGATGTGAGGACAAATACTCGCCGAAGACATTGGCTGGGGTCGCGCTATGTCGTGAATTGGCAGAAGCTAGAATTCATGGACTGGCTATTGGATCGGGTCCTAGTGGCTTAATTAATTTATCTATTTATACCCCCCCAAAAAAACATTTATTTATTTATATACCCCTACTCTTGTTTATTCACTCCCCTTTATACTGTGTCTGACATCCACGCGCTGTTTAAATCAACATGTGGATCGCCTTGGACACGCCTTTGCTACTCTTCTCGTAGACACCCACATTGACTGGGCTTTTGACAGTATTCAGTAACAGACACCTCATAGTTTGATTACCGTATTCTAGATAAACCCTATATTCCTGAAGTATACGCGTTGCTCTCCGTCTGGTTTAAATAATCGTTGAGTTTATCGCTCTGAATTTCTCAGAAGAAATTCACATTAGTGATCATTTGGCTGGTGAAGAAATAGAAATCAAATTATTACAATTTGAATACAGGGATTATCGTTTTGGAAAGCTCAACAGAACATTATAAGTCAAAACAAGTATTAGAGTGCTGCCCAAACTGGTAGTTTAAAGGCAGTTGATTTGAATTCTGCTGTGACACAGCAGTGCTTCGGTAGAAGAAGACGAGACACTTGGTAACAGAATGTTTATCTGGAATTTGATATCTACATAATGAGAAACTATGTACATCTCATATGGAAATCGTCATTTGCACAGACCTTTTATGTTGCGCTACTTCTGCCCTTCCTTATAGTGTTTCTTTTGTGTTCTTTTCGTGTCTCACATATTTTGTCACAACATTGGTTCATTTCCTCTCTCTCTCTCTCTCATTGACGTCAAACCGGCTTCCTTATCCCACTGTATCCATTTCTATAGTTGGCTGACGTTAACCCGTCTTTTTTTATTTCTTTTGATGGTATAAGGGGGACCATGTCTCCCGGTGACAGAGTATGTTCCTCGACACTTTGAAGGAGTTTCCGTGAGCCTGATGCGTATCTAACCATGTACTTTCTCTCTCTATTCTTTTTGCTTGATCGCTGACTTCAAAAGTTATTCATTCCCTACTTTCTCTCTGTTTAGATTTTGCGTCCTTTATCTTTTGCCTATTGCTTTACATTCCTGACGGCTTCTTTCCAGTTACGTTCGGAATCTCGTGAAATTTCATTCTTGGTAAAGCGGTCAGGTTGTGCTGTCTATTAGTAGTAGTTGATAGTCATGGTTTCCTCCCATTCATCAACTGAATGGGTGGAAGTATGATGTGCTAGTAAGAATCAGTAGAATTTCTATTCACATTATTCTTATACACAAGACTTTGCCATATTTTAAACGAATCTTGTATCATATTCATGATAATTGATTCGAAAATCCTATCGAAAATTATTTTTCCACAGTTTTTTAAATATTGAAATCTACAATATTATTTAGTTTTCTAATAGTATTAAAAATTTGCAAATTATAATAGAAGTTAGATTTCATGTCATCATGGGATTCCAAATCTTTACTGACTGAATTATCAATGAACTAGTCTTGTAGTCTAAAAGTCTTTAACTCGATATCTCCAGTAGTGGATGATGGTTGTATACTATTGAGAGAGGAGTCCTATACTAAAACAGAATAGCTATCTAGTACTCTTCAATTCTTTCTAGTGTTCACCAACTGTTATTATTAATCTGTTAGCAAACTTGTGCGTCGGTGGCACAACGGTGGAATTGTGCTCGTCAGCCATGCAGAGTTGGTCCAGGGTTCAATCCCCCGGCCACTGACACACTTATTTACCTGCCTATGCCATTAAGAGAGGACTGGTAAAGAGGGAATGTTGGATAGGCATGTGAGGCTAACAACCCCATCCCGTAAAAATAAACATCACTGCGCTGCTGAAACTTCATGCCTGTAGCTTGAAGCCCAATGTTCCACTGGGTATGGAAAGGAAAAAGAAAGAAAAAGAATCGAAATTGAGGTTGAAGTATTACGCAATACCTTAAAGTTCTAAATATCTCAGGCTTTTTTAACCAACAATATGTATGAATAAATCAAAAGACAACATAGTTATAAACCTAACACTTCCTTGGTTTGTCATCATGCCGCCTATCTTAGACAGGATATAATATTATCAATCCAAACAGGAAACAAATGGCTGGCTAAATTGTATATGGAATAATCTATCAGCTCATGAATTCCAATTTGTGTTGAATTCACGATCTAATCAACTAGATCAAATAACATCGATGATTGTTCACGTCTGCCTGACACAGAGAGCTTCCCCAGTGTGATGGATTCTCATAGAAATTTCAGTGACTAGCAAAGTCTCAGCACAGACAAGCAACACAATTCTAGCGTTTCCACACACACACTCAGATAGACCAAAGAACGGGAGAATAAAAATATTCAAAAGGATTATAATAGAATAAAATGTGAAGGAGACAGAATAGTAACATGGGGAAACATGAGAGTTTGAAGGGTGGATCTAGGAGATTACAGAAAGAATCAATGCACCTGCTGCCATACCAAAGTGGTGTGACACAGAGTAAATGTTCCAACGGAATCTTATTCTCACAAATACTATTCCCATAATTTAACACTGTATTACCTACAGAATATTATATATATATATATATATATATATAAGGCAGTTTGATCAGTTGAAAATATACCTTTGCTTCCATGTCTTGCCTTCTGCAGTTTTTCAAGAAGACATATGGATCTTCTTGCAGGACTTCGAGACTGTCGCATAGTTGAATGGAGTTTAAAATCCATCAGCGAAGATGTTTTTACTTGAAACGACGCTGAAATGTCAGGTGAAGGCAGCGTAAGATAGAGTGGGGTAAAATACCGGCGAATATGCGCTAGGGTGGCGCAAACTGTTTCCAAAGTAGGAAGGAGCATAAACGGTCACCGCGAGATGGGGTCACGTATGTACTATCAGAAATGCAAACAAAGAGAAGCAGATGAACGTCGGCTAGCTTCAGAACTAGGTACAGTAAGACATGCAAACAAAGACGCCAGCACCAAGAAGATCAAACCACCTTCAATGGAAAATACTATATATATATATATATATATATATATATAGCGGTTTGGTCAATTGAAAATATACGTTTGCTTCCTATATCTTACCTTCTGTTGTTGCAAAACCACCAATAGTCTCCGGTCATTGCTTCTTAACATCCCACGGAACCTAACCATGCAGTTTTCGCCTCCCTACACAACCGGCTCAAACTAACTGTTGGTGTGACATTTTCACTAGACCAACCCCTACTCTTCTGCAGTCTAATTCTATGTCGATTAACATTACCCATCTAGCAAGGTGATTGCTTGGCATGCGAACCACATTTCCTAACCATATTGATCAATATAATTTCACAGCGCCTTATTGATTGACACTTGCCCTCTTCACCTAACTTCAGTCTTACTCGTTAACTATATTAGGAAATCGGTCTCGAAGTTAATGTCTAGCGAATTTATAACTAAGCGATTATTAAGAAAATGGGTTTTATCCTTAATGGAATGATGGATTCAACATTGTGAAGAGTCTTCTGGATTGGGACAAAATAACTATCCAATGGTGTTATAATCGTTGTCGGTTCTTGAAATTAAAATTAGCCATTTATTTTAAATAACTCCCAATAAAATTTTTTTTTATAAAAAAAGAAGACCTTGTAATCTAATTTTAATTTCATTTTCTGTCCCTTCATTTCTTCTTTTATTCGTGCTCAATTCATTCTCAAAGTTCAAAGCCTCTTCTATCAGTAGGCGATAATCATTATGAAATGGTCGTCAATCCTTTCATTGAAGAAATTATTCAAAATTCTATCAATTCAATAAATTCAAAAACATCAACTCAGTTAACCAGCAATACACAACAATATAATAAAATTGTAAATAGAAAGGATAGGCTGAAATTACCATTATCAACTAACACCACTACAACTACTACTCCTTCGCCTACGACAACCACCACTTCGGTTGTTTCTAAAAAATCCTCATCAATGTCTCCATCGCCATCATCAGTATCATCGTCGTCAGTTCTTTACTCAACCTCATCATTATCAACGAACACAATAATCCCCGATAATAACAATAGACCCACAATGATAAATACAGCTGTCTATACAAGTCCTAATGATACTTCATCATCTATAACGCTTAAAACACAATCTACTAGTCTTGCGAATTCAATGTCAACATCCTCACCATCCTCAGTGACATCATCCCCATTATCCCGCATACCAGAAGTACAAAAACTCTCAGTAATAACAACAATATCAACAACATTGAAACCAACAGTCACTTGTTCATCGTCACCTCTGTTAACTATTTCATATGATCCAATAATAACTGAAAGTGTACAGTTGAATAATGATTTTATGTTGTATGAACAACCGATAATTATATATCCGAATGAGAATTATTCTCAATGTGAAGTGAATCAACCTATAATGGTGACGAATAGTACCAGTAGAAGTACTACATTGTTAACAAATGATGAAATAAAACAAGATGTGCTAATTAAACAATCATTTTATGATATACAATCACAAGTAAATCATAGAACAAGTCAAAGCGGTGGAGATGATGAAGTTGACGGAAAACTTCAATCTCAGGTAATTATCATATATTTTAGTGATATATTATTTTTTATTATTATTGTTCCCTGAGGTCCGTAGTGGAATATAGGGCTTCAACTGCACGTCTCCAGTTGCCAGTTCTGTCTTCCTTCTTCTGTACTTTTCACCTGCGTCATCCATGTCTCTTCACACGATCCCCTCCATGTTACACTTGCACTGACGTCCCACTCGCCGTGGGCTTCCCTTTCGGCCTGATTCCACTCGAGCAATGGCCTGAAGTGCGCGCGATGTCACCCAGCGGCCCGGCCTCCTCAGCAAGTAGTGTCCAATCCATCTCACTCCACTTTCTTCTGCATATTTGCTGTTGTTGGGCGATTGGTTTTTTCTTGTTTTGTTTGTTCCCATAGTTTCTTGTTGGTGATTCTTTCCGGCTCGGCCATCTGATCTTTAGTATAGTATAGAGCGAATACAGTTGTTGTTGATAAAGGTCTGCAACAGGCTGTTGGAAATATATATTTTAGTGATATATTATTATTATTTATTATTATTCTCTTGGCTTCTGAGTGACTTCAACACCAAGTCTGTACCTTGTCCTATTCTCTGTGGTTCTCTTTAACTAGCGGCAAGATTGTTTATGGTCCCTCATCTCCCTCTTGTATGACCTCCTCCATATCACCCTCAGATGCTCTACTCATCATTTGCTATTCAGGTTACACTCGAACGATAGCGTAGCGGCGATATCATTCAATAATCTCTCCAACGTGTGCCCGATCCATCTCTATTTCCTTTCTACATATTCGTTGAGCAATAGGTTAATTGGTTGATTTATTTCCATAGTTACTTGCTACTAACTCTTTCTGGCCAGCCAATCATTTGATCTTCAATACGGAGGCAGTGAAGGCAGCTGTTGATGCAGGTCTGCAGTAGCCTGTTGAAAATGCTTTGAGTGGCGCGTGCACCAAGTTCCTAATCCATATGAAGATGCTCAGTATTCGAATCTCCTGCAGAAATTTCTAAACTGATTTTGAAGTGATGAAAGGGTATCTTAACTTTCCGCTTCCGGTCAGCTCTAACATCTTCATCCGTTCCCCCTGTAGTTGAAACTATGCTGTCTTTCTCGTCGATGGTGATTGGTACAGGTTTTTGTCGCTGTTACTCGGTTCGTTATATTCCTCACCTCTATCTTCTCTGTGTTCACATGGATTCCTGTCATCACTGCTTCTTCAGCCAGTTTGTTGGTTTTCGTCAGCGTTGCAAGTGGAACATAGGGCTTCATGCTTCAGCTTCGAGGTTTCAATAACAGTGGCTTTATTTTTACAGGGTGGGTTTTTAGGCTTCATACCCAACTTTCCATCTTTACTGGGATTGCTACCGGCACAGCAACATTTAAAAAACCACACCGGCTGAGGATCGAGATCCGGACCACTTTCGTGGTTGGTGAGCATTATTCTAATGTACCACCAATGCTTATAGATAATCTGTGATGGTTGCGCTCTTCATATCCTACACTTTCAGTGACCACTGCATAAAACTATATACAATTGGTTGGTTGGGATGAGTAGTGCTTTCTAACTAACTTTCTACTTACATCTTCTTAGCTAATGACGTTGTCGACTTACTGTTTGTTCCCGCTTCGAGATTATCGGAAAAAATAAGAGTATTTTTACACAATTGTGTTATTGTTTCCCCCTTTTTTTGTCACTAAGTGAAACTGACGTATACTTATCAAATATCAGTTGGCAGGAATTTTTTTTGGGGTTACAGGTTTGATCAAGATTTGACATCAGTTAAAGAATCAGAAGTTGGAATTCATTGACTATTGGATCGGGCATCAGTGACTGAATAATCTATGAGCTCGCCTGATAGCCGGAAGGTCTTATGTCCAAGCCCCAGTGGGTGCGTACTAGTGAAGAGTTCCAAACTAAGACGAAACAGCTACCCAGTACTTGCATCAGCCTGGAATTGAACTCTTACCTATCTCATCGTCTGGAGATTATCCTTCTGTTGAACACTCATGAAGCAGATACATTCCTGTAAGACCCGAAATAGAGCATAAGTGTATTAAAGCTTTGAAGTTTGAGTGGTCGTGGTTGCTAGTCACACACACACACACCCAATCTTCCCTCCTTTCTGGTCTTATTACCAGCTAGGATAAGGTTTGAGGGTGCGTAAGTCGGGAATCGAAACCTAGACCACATCTGTATGTGTATGTGCGAGTAGTTGACGAGTGTTCTGCTCTTGGTCGACCACCGGCGCATACATTAAAATACTTATTATTATTATGTCCTTTAATTCCTAGAGGAACAAAGGGCTTCAGCTGAAAGTCTCCATTGCTTTCGGTTCTCTGCTAGAGTTTTCACCAGGCTCCAAGTCTGCCCACACGCCTTCATCTCATCTTCACATGACCTCATCCAAGTCACCCTCACACTGACGACCAACTCGTCGCTTCCCTTTCAATCGGGTTCCACTTGAACAATGACTTGTCTAATCATGTCACCTGATGGTTTGTTTCCTCAGAGTATGGCCAATCCACCTCCATTTCTTCCTGCCTATTTGTTTCACAATCGGTTCCTGCTGAATTGGTTCGCTCATTGCCAGAGATCCCTCCCTGTTTCTGATCTTTTCTGACCGGCCATCTGTTCTTAAGTAGTATTGAGAAAAGACAGCTGTTAGTGAAGGTCTGTAGTTTGTTTGAGATGCTCTTTATGACGCGCAGTGCAAGTCTCTGATCCATGCAGTGGGTAGCACTGACTGACTTCACATTGGGGTTTAAAATCCGGATGTTATTTTTGATGCTGAGTGCTGTTGCCCTCCAGAAAGACTTCAGAATAATGAAAGCTTGTCTGGCTTTCCCAATCCTCGCTGCTTTGATATCCTCATCAGTTCCGCCGGCCTGTAGTTGACACGATGCTTTCCAGGTAGGTAGGTAGGTAGGTAGGTAGGTAGGTAAAGGAGGCTGTTTCTTTCAGGTTCCTCCCATTTATGCTGGCTGATTGTTGTCTGTTGTTGTTGTTGCTGCTACTGCTGTTATGCCATCAACTAAATATAATTGTTTTTATTTATTTTATTTTATTAATTTACAGAGTTATCAAGTGAGCCTAGTCAAGGATACATATGATAAACCTATTCAAATAGTACATCCATTACATAATAATATTACAAAACAGTTAAATCAAGATGATACTACCACCACTAGTACTACTACTACTATTATGCAACAATCTGGTGGTCGATTAATCATTTCATTATCAACAGAATTAGCTGAAAGAGAAGCACGTAAAAAACGCTTAGAAGGGATTATGTCACGTATAAAATTACACACTAAAAATACAAGTATTGAAAGGCAACAATCCCAACCACAACCACAACCCCAACCGCAACATCAACAACAACAACAACAACAGCTCGTCGATACACAAACAAAACAAGCAGACTATAATCCACAACTTCTATCGAGTAAACAAAAAGCATCGGAGGTGCATCGACGACAACTACAAGACGAAGAAGAAGCAAAAGTTAAAGAGACGACGCCTAATCTTACCTTCATGAGATGTTCTTCTACAATTGAAACATTATTAAATCAAAGGAAATCCTCAACATCATCAAGTGATATATATAATTCTCAGGAGAATAAAACAAATTTATTGAAAGCGTCGAATTCAACAAATAATATAAATCATATAGCAGATGAACAATTAAATCATCACCAAAATAAGAGTACAGATCAATTGGTAAATTTAACTAGATCCGCATATCAATCGAATGTTCACAATGATGATGATCATGATCATGATGGGAATGATGATCACGATGATGGGAAAACACGGATGAGACGAGATCGTGCTAGTATTGTAGCTAATATGTTAGCCTCTGGACGATTGGATAGAAAAAGTCGGGCAGCTGAAATATTGATTACAATGTTATCTAAAAAACAATTAAATTCCACTGAAATTAATAATAATAATGATAATAATGATCAATAAAATTACAATGAATAATACTAAGTAAGTTTGTATATTATTATTATTATTGTTCCCTTGGGTTCCTAGTGGAACAAACATAGGGCTTCAACTGCACATCTCCACTTGCTTCTGCTGTACTTTTCACCTGCATCATCCATGTTAGTTAGTCCATACTGTGTTTCAACCAACTCCTCTTCACACGATCTCCTCCTCCATGTCACCATCGCACTGACGTCCCACTCGCCGTGGGCTTCCCTTTCGACCTAATTCCACTCGAGCAATGGCCTGAGGCGCGCGTGATATCACCCAGCTGCCCGGCCTCCTCAGCGAGTAGTGCCCAATCCATCTCACTCCACTTTCTTCTGCATATTTGCTGTTGTTGAGCGATTGGTTTGTTCTTGTTTTGTTTGTTCCCATAGTTTCTTGTTGGTGATTCTTTCCGGCTCGGCCATCTGATCTTTAGTATAGTATAGAGCGAATACAGTTGTTGTTGATAAAGGTCTGCAACAGGCTGTTGGAAATATTCTTTGTGACCCGCCCGCCAAGTTTCTGATCCGTATAGAAGAACTGACTTAACGTTGTTTATATTGAAAATCCGACCGAATTTTGTTGTTGATGCGAAGTTAAGTGACGAAGATTTCCAGATTGGTTTCAGTTGGTTGATGAATGTGTTTCTCGCTCGCCTTCCCGATTCTCGCTCGATTTGACATCCTCGTCCGTTCTGACAGCCTGTACTTGAGACAATGCTCCCTAGATAAGTGAGTGTATGAAGTAACCTCTTTCAAATCCCTCCCGTTGATGGTAATTGGAGCTGGAAGTTTGTATATTGACTTTTGATAATTGTTTGTTCACGGGTTAATATCACTTCAACCCCCCTCTGAGTGAAGTAATTCATCAGTTATCCTGAGTGGTATTCATATGGGATAAATTCGATAATGATACGCATCTGAAGTTGTTGTTTAATTGAATTTTAGCTTTTCCCGTCGATTGATCGGACCGAAATGCTCCGTCTCAGGCTGACATGTTGGCTTCTTGTGCAGATGCTTTGAAGATGTCTGGGCATCTATTTAGAAGTTAATTGGTGGATGGTGACTAGCAGTGGAATCCTTGATGTGCATTTCGTCCTATTCAGGAGTCGCCACCTGCATGTACCTGCATTCCCCAGAGAGTGAGTGATGACGTTCTCCACAAGGCTCGAACCCAGTACTCATAGTTTCAAACGCCAAAGCGTTATCTTCTAAACCACTTAGGCCACGAAAGCCACCTCTTGTGCAATGAGTCATATTAATTATTTAATTAGGGACATCATCACTCAGGTACATCTAGCCGATGAGTCGCAAATAGCACGAAGTGCGCGTTATCCTGGATTCCACTGCTAGTTACCATCCCCCAGTATCTGAAGTTGGTTGGTTGAAGGCAGTCGAGAGGAAAATTCCCAACCTAGGTTTGGTGCTTGTTTGTACTCCTTGTCTCCTCTAGGACTCGAACCTGTGTCAGGAACGTTACCATTGAGGGAGTGATTCGAGCTCAAGATTCATATCCTATCGAAGAGTAATGGTAATGACTGAATTTCCTCAGTAAATTTTCCAGTGTGGTGAACTGATAGCAACTGGAAATCCATTACAATTCAGGGGAAAGTTTTAGCAGTAGGCAGCAGTGACGATGTCGTCAATGGGGGTTGCACTGAGGACTTTCACTTCATTTCTTTGTATCCTGAATGAAACATAGGTGTTCAAGCTTTAAATGTGTCTTTATTATGCAACTCCTATCTAATTATCTCAAAACATTTACCTTTTTTAGTTTTATTTTGTTTAAACTTGAGCGTCGATAGCACAGCAGGAGGAATGTTCACCAACCACCCAGGTGGTTTGAGATTCGATCCGCAACTGACACACTCGTTTATTTCTCTAGGCGAGTAATAAAAGTGGTAAAGAGGGAAAGTTGAGTGGAAATGAGGCTAGTAACTCCATCCCGTAAAACTAAACACCACTGCTACCGAAACTTCAAACCTTTATCTTCAAGCCTTATGTTCCACTGGGAACGTAAAGGAATACAAATAATAGTAAATAAATAATGTATATAAGTTATATGGGGAATTCCTGTAGACTGCTTATTAATTTTGGAGTCTCCTGTTAACTGACATAATGTGACATGTGCGAGTATGTTAAAAGTGTTCTGTACATAAAGTTATTAATTTTTTAAGGCTGCATACAGCTGATGAGAAGCTAACGAAACAAATGATGGTGGTACCATCTTATTCTGTACAAACTGTTTTGTTCTTGTGCTATATTCGAATTCACACAGGGGAATAAATACATGAAGCAATATCGCTGTTAGTTGGTTGTAGGAAATTGGTAGGAAGCCTTAAACCTAGATTTCGTGCTGTTGGTACTTGTCAACAAGACATATCTGCAATCTTGAAGGAACTTGCCTTGCTTCCCGAGATTCGAACCCGGATCATTCATTACTGCCATCAGAGATATTACCACTGAACTATTTGGGCTCACCGTCAACCTCCTGCATGCCCGCGGTCCGAATCCTAGGAGATACATGAATTCCTTCCTTCCTTGCACATACTCCGTTATGACGTGTGCCAGCCAACAACCACGAGACCACTGTCCGGCAGGGTCTTCCTACCGACTGCCTCCAACCGTTTAACAACAACAACTCAGAGTGCACCCTGATGACGAGTCATCTAGCATGATGGCCACACTAGAACTTGACTGATAGAATTCGGTCAAGGTGTGTGATATTACTCACTACGAAGTGGTCCGGTCAAAGAAGACTGCAAAAGTTAAGGATGATTCCCGTCAGCTTAATGGAAATATAAAAATGATTTTTGATTAAGATCACTCATTTTTTAAATTAAACACTTATATATCTTCAAGTGTTGGTTTATAGGGATTTGATTGGTTACAGGATTTCATCATGAGCTGACATTAGTTAGAGAACCATTGGAAAACCAGCTGGGAGTGCTAGACAGCTGTTTCGTCCCAGTTTGGGACTCTTCATCAGTACGCACCCCCAGGGTTCGAACCCCAGGACCTTCTGGTTACAAGGCTAGTGATCTCGTATACCATTAAGCCACTGGAACACTATTCAGGTAGGTAGTTACCTGGGGTTCTAGTGAGAACTCGTGACCAGTAGGGTGCAGCAGGTCGGGTGTGAGGACAAATACTCGCCGCTGAAGACATTGGCTAGCGGTCGCACTATGTCGTGAATCGGCAGAAGTTAGAATTCGTGAGCTGACCACTGGATCGGGTCCCAGTGGCCTAATGGTATACGAGCTCGCCTTGTAACCAGAAGGTCCTTCGTTAGAACCCCAGTGAAATGGGTGCGTACTGCCGATGATTCGCAAACTAGGACGAAACAGCTCTCCAGTACTCCCAGGTTTTCCAATGGTTCTCTAACTAATGCCAGGTCATGATGAAATCCTGTAACTTATATAACTCCTTCTCTCTCTCTTTCCACTTATAACTTTCTATTTTTTACAGTTGACCGATAAAATTTATCAATTCAAAATAAAACAAAACTGAATCCTTGAAAGATGAAATCTAACTTACTTTCTGCATACATCTGTGTGTGTATACCTACCGTTAACATCTACACATGCATTGACTATAATGCTATAAGAGCACTAGGAATCGAACAATGGGTACATACATACGCACACCCTACCCTACGTACTACCACCCTAGTCAACAACTTAAGTGTCTCCATGAAATAACAATAATGCTAGAAGTAAAAAAATATATGCCACACACACACACACACACACATTATCCTAATTACATTATTATTATTATTACTATTATCATTAAATACATTATTTAAAGAGGCCAGACTAGTATGCTACACACACATCCACAGACGCCCAGAGTATACATATGTCCCCGTAAAACCAAAAACATTGATTATGTAATGTGTAGAAAAAAGAGCGAAAAATTGACGACATCATTCAAAAGTAAACCCACTTAAATTGTACAAAATTAATTTTTTTTGTTTTTCTTTTCTTTTTAAATTCTGTATTTTTATTAAAAATAAGCCAAACGAAACAAAACAAAAGAAAAAATAAGAATTTAATTTTCACTGTAACCCCATAACAACGAGGTCAAGAACAATAAACAATAAACCCATAATACACACTAACAACACATAAAACTTTTGTTTGCTTTTAATACAATCATTCACTCACTCACTCAATGATTTTATAAATCATTGAAAATTTTCTTTATTGTATTTAATTATTATTATTAAATTAATCTCATTACTACTGGGATTATTATCCCTATTATTATTATTATTACCACTGTTACCATTATTTGAGTTCGTTCACAGTGTATATTGTAAAAAAAATATTAATAATAATCATTTTACAAAAAATTGAATTAAACTATTTTGAATTGAATTATTGTCGTCGTTATTTCCTTTGTGTTTTTCGAGTGAAGTACCGACGACCTCAACAGTACATCTTCGTTGCATCAAGCTGTTTGCAGTTCTGGTTAGCTAACTCCTCCTCTATGTCGGGCTATGCTCACTAGCGACTGGCCGCCCTATTAAGGCAGTGGACTGGGGTTCTAGTGGGAAGCTGTGACCGGTAGGGTGCAACAGGTTGAAGATGAGGCAGTTACTCATAGAAGCAGAAGACATTGCAAAGTGGTCGAGGTATGTAATGAATTAATTGACACGGGTTAGAATTCATCAACTGATGGGTTGGGTCCTAGTGGCTCAATGGTCTACGAGGTCACCTTGTAATCAGAAGGTCCTAGGTTTGAACCCTAGTGGTGGATGCGTACTGTGAAGAGTCCCAAACTAGGACGAAATAGCTATCCAGTACTTCCTGTTGGTTTGCCAACGGTTCCCTAAATGATGTCAGCTCAAGATGAAATCCTCCAACCAATCAAACAAAACCTCTATAAAAACCAATACCAACCGTGATCAACTCCTAAAAACATAACTAACCCTTACAAATCAAAACTATAGAAAATCAATCTGATGCTCGCTAATGACTTGCTATAGGTTGGAGTTTCCTGGAGTTCTAGTGAGAAGTCGTGACCAGTGAGGTCCAATTAAGTGTCACGTGTGTGGATGGATGTCCCACCAACGACAATAGTTGGGGTCGCGCTAAATCATGAATCGGTAGAAGTTAGAATTCATGAGTTGGCCACTGAATCGGGTCCCAGTGGCTGAATGGTATACGAGCCAGCTTGCCTTGTAATCCGAAGACCCTGGGTTCGAATCCCAGTGGGTGCGTATTGCCGATTATTCCCAAACTCGGATGAAACAGCAGCTGTCCAGTACTCTGGTGCTGGTTTTCAATGCTTCTCTAACTGATATCAATCCGTGATCAACTCCAAAAAACATAACTTACCCTTACAAATCAAAACTATAGAAAACTTGACAATAGGTTTCTTATTGGTTCGTTTTCGGAGCTGTGTGTTGTTTTATGCTATCTCACGGGCCATCTGATCTTCAGTCAGGAGCGAACGAGGTGGTGAATGATAAAAATTTACACTAGAATGTTGGAATTGCTTTTATTGGTCTGCATACCAAATCTTTGAAGCAGTCAACTGACACTACTCTTCAAGATCTGGATGTTATTCCTTATGCTGATTAGTGCAGTAGATTTCCACAGTGAATTTAGCTTAATGAAGGTCTGCCTTGTCTTTACGACCCTGGTTTTGATATATCTTCATTGGCTCCATCTGTATGGTTGTAACGATGCAGCCAAGGCAAGTGAAAGAGACTACTTCTATTGAACTTCTTCAGTTGCTTGTTGGTAAGGTATCTTCATCTCTTCTATTTTCTTTATGTTCACTTGGAGTTCTGTAATTTGTCTGTAGATCTTTCTGTGACATTAGACATAAATAGTCCGAGAGGTTCATATCTTCTCTAGAGCTATTTTGCAGGTTCAACATACGTATGCCTTCTCACTGCCTACTGTTTGTTACAGGAACCAGTTCATCACAGTCAAAAATATCATCGATGACAGTTGCTGCTTTTATTTTGCATGCGTTTCGAATATTACATATAGTTTCAGGCTTAATAGGTTCAGTAATGGTGGATTATTAAGGGGTGGAGTAGCTAGTCTCATACCCACAGACCTTCCCATCGTTGTTCCAGCTTAGTATCTGTGGAGTACGTAACAATATGATCGTACACTTTTTGTTAGTTGTTGAATTTAGAGACATTGTACATGATTTTTGTTTAAAACGATTCATGTTTAAATATATATAACTTCCAAGTACAATTCAAAGTACACTATACTGTTGGAAGCTTCGCCTTCTCTCTGGCCATTACTGCTGACTCGCTCCACTCACACCGTGTTGTATACTTTGGATTTATTGTAGGAGTCTATTATCCTTATCCGAAGACAACTCTACAACCAGTCCACAGCATTTACCAGCAGACGCAATTCTAACAGTGAACGCTCCCGTGGATTATATTAATAATTTGTAGCAGCGGACTTTAACATTATATCCAAGTGCGTCGGTGGCATAGTGGTTAGGACTCTCGCCGACCATGCACATGGTCCGAGGTTCGATCCCTTGCCGACGAACACCTGATATCTATGGTCGGCCTGCAAAATTTGGGCTACCGATATCCATGCTGAAAATTCCATACTTGTACCAAAAATACGGTGTGGCATCAAGCTGTAATGAACAAATAAAACCTTTCCATTAATATAACTCATTACTGTATTTTTGGATAATATATTGTTAATCTACCATTTAATTGACTTGGATTTTTATTCACCTATTTGTAGTGTTAATGAGCTCTCCTGACAGTCCCCTACATATCGGCTGAGTGACGTTTAGGAGTGCATCTGTCTGTCTGTCTGTTTTCGACATAGAACTTTGCACAAATGTGCGGAAGTTCAAGTCGCCACATTCCGTGTAGCACGCGAAGCAAGAGAAGAAAGTACAAGAAAAGCATAATAGAAACAGTGAGCAGAGGTGTGAGACAAAGGAGTAATAAAGAAATACAAAACAGTTTCATTGAAGATCATAAGTCACAGGGAGTGGATGCATCTGCGCCACTGAGAACGATTTTGAGCCATGTCACCAATTGTTTCCAACCATAGATTTTTACCGTCCCGAGGACCCCAGCCTGGAAGTTTACACCTTCCTACGTGGCTGGCTTAGACTAACTGTTGTGGATTTCATTGACCGACGAGTCCAAGTTTTTGTTTGACCGCCGCTAGCTTTTTTCCAGCCTGACCCTATATCCGCTAACATAGCTCGTCGAGGGAGGCGATGACTTGGCATACGTAACACATGTCCTAACCATCTCAGTCGATGTAGCTTCACGACTTCGTCGATTGATTTCCCTGTTTACCTAGAACTCTACGCCTAACCTCCATGTTGCTCACCTTATTATGCCACTTTACACGGGAAATAGAACGCAGGCACCTATGATCAAAGACAGCTAGTCTTTTCATGTCTTCCAATCTCAGTGACCAGGTCTCACAACCATAAAGAAGGACGGAGCGGACTGATGAGCAGTACACCCGCCCTTTGGTCGATAGTCGAACATCTCGTCTACGCCAGAGTCGGCGTAAACTAACAAATGCGAAACGAGCCCCTTGTATTCGTGCTGAGATTTCGTCAGAGATCAGCCCGTTGGGGCTGATGGTACTTCCCAAATAAGTGAAGCGGTCAACGTGCTCTACCACTTCACTTCCTATTTTTAAACTAGGCGTCGATGTAGTCCAGTCCTGTAACATCATCTTGCATTTGGCGGGAGCGAATCGCATGCCAAACATTCGTAGATTGCATCTGCCCGGAATAAAATCTGGAACCAATCCCCATCCCTCTACGCGGTTGGCAAACATTCTAGTATTGAACTACCAATGCACTTATAAACAGATAAATGTTTTAGAATGCCTGCGTTTAGCCTTCTCAGTAACTTTAAAAGAATGAATCACACAAGGCTGAAAATAACATGACTCCGGAAAGTGTGTTCACAGAGAGAAGACTTCGTTATCCTGTGTTCGTATCATTTTTTAATCAAGCCTATATATATACAGCAATGCACCCCCAAGAAACTTGCTTACAAGCTCCAATATAATCAGAATAGATCCATATACAGGGTGAACATCAGCGTTGGTTGCCTTTTCTTCCTTCACGTACTTGTCGAATAAAATACTACCATACGAGAATATCAGGTCAGTGAGTGGGTAAGGAAAAGTGTATTTGATGATATACCTGGATAGATTGACTTTTAAACACTCTAGAATTGGTATTACCTTTAAATACCAGACTAATAACTGCTGTCTTCTTTGGCACTATGATTTATTTGGCTAAGAGCGATTCCTTTCTTTTAATAAACTCTCTAGAATATCCATTTTCAAGTATCTTGCTAACTAGATTCTCAAAACTTGAAAAAGTAGACTTATGTAACTATTCAGGTAAGTATACTGCTCTGCAGAAGTTGTTTTTCTAATTGGTAGATCGACCTTTGGTGATGAAACATCCAACGTCTCTCTCTCTCTCTCTCTCTCCTACTTAACATAGCATCTAACAGGTGAAATGTAGCATATAATTCATCTTCACTTACATGAGACGTATAGATAGATAGATGGGTGGTCAAAGTTAAGTTTACTTTTTTGGTCATCAACAGTTTGTGTCATTGTGGTGAGAGGTGGCTGCTGGCCAAATTGGTAGACAATAATTTACATCAATGTTTACGTCCTCAATATTGGTCGTGAGAAAATATGAACAAGACTGATTCAACAACCAATCACAGCAGACTTTGCGTGGGTTAACATATAGATGAACTGACATTCAAGAAACAGTCACAAAGAGATGGAAGTTGAACTTTCTGTGAGAAACAACCAATCAGAAGACTGTGTTTGTCTGCTTGAATAAGCTATAATAATGTACATGAAAATCTATAAATACGTGTTGATTTCCTTGATAAACGATCTGTTTCCTGGCCCTTGTCTTCTGTTGTTACACCATAAGTAAATAAAATATATCATCCACATACCTTATATAAAACTGAAACCTATATGTTGATAATCGTTTTCAATTAACCATAGGTATCTTATGGTGTTGTGAGATAGAATAGCGCTATGTGAATAGATTTTGTTTATTCTTCAACTAACCACTATGCAGGGTGACGTTCGGGAATCCAACGATAAACACGCCTAATTGTACGGCCTATGCAACTAACTGGCTCACACCACGGAAGTAGTTAAACTGGTAGATACACATGGAAGAGGTGAAATTAGGCAGTTTATCTTTTACTCCCGAACGCAAAAGAGGAGTGGTTTTGAAGACACAGCGTAATTTGGCAGCAGAGAATGCTCTTTTTACCGCATTTCTAGGGCGCTGTATTAGTATTTCTCTGATGCTGTCCCAAGGAATTATAATGTCTTTTTAGGAACTTTTGATACCTTCAGCTGCTATGATTTTAGATTCATATTCTTATCAATAAAGTTTTCTGGATAACCATTTTCACTCAGCAACCGTTTAATATTATTGAGTTCCTCATCAAGACATTCATTCGAACAGACTGTTCTTGCTCTGTGAACCAAGGCACTTTATCAGATTGCGTTTGTATTTCAGGGGCACGAAGGTGAAAAACGAGTATACTGACCCGTTAATGTGGATTTTCTATATACACTTCTTGTTATTGTGCCATTCTCTCTTTTCTGGTAATAAGGACGTCTAGAAATGAAATACCATGCTTTCAGGGTCATTTACCGCATACCAACAAATCTTGACTTCGCTTTAAGAGTTCGTTTACTAAATATTGCTGAGGCTGGCCGTTGGAATCCACATTGAGAAGCCTAAATTATGTATCCAAAAGTAGCTAGTTCAGACATTGTCCTTACCTTGGCCATCTAGGTTTGAATGATCCTGAATTTTTGTAGAATTTTCCTAATTTTAGTTGACATTCTATTTGCTATTATATCTTTATTATTATTAATATAAGAATTTAAGCATCTTTAATGAACTGTAATTCCATTGACCTCACTTTACAAATCGATATTATTTAAAGCAAACTGACATTGTTATTGACTACTAATCTAGAATATTCTATGTATATAAACATGCATTTATTTTATTTTATTTAAACGCATAAAAAACTTGGTACAATATGGCACCAAGAATAATAATAATAAAACAACATAGATTCAAAGTAAAACAAATATAAGTAAAGAAAGGATTAAGAACTTCATCTGGAAGAAAGATGGTCATGCTTAACAAGTTCAAACAGTGTTCGTTAACTATCATCAGGAAGGGGAAGAAAGAAAGAAATTGCAACACGTTAGCCATTGATTACGATTCTTAGCCATATCCGATAACGTTTCGAGCCATCTATTTGAGCTATCTCGCGGACCCCAACCAGGGAGTCGTGACACACCAACCGATGCTAACCTAGCACAAATATTCTTCATCCCACGACCCCACGTCAAGGACTGACCACCTCTCCACCTTTTCCATCCCGTCCCAGGGCTAGCGAACAGAGACCTGTGCGGAAGCCTCTGGAGTGACATTCGCAGCACATATCTACGCCGCCTGAGCCGGTGTTTCCAGATGAAGACACTCAATGAGTAGTGATCTCCACTGTGTTCAAACACACGCCGGGAAATAAGCATGCATGCATATAATTGTAGAGCCAGAAGAGGAAATTATCTATCGAAAAGGATATTCTTTGCTGGCTCAATTATTTTGTGTTTCATGGAAAGTGCTCAGTGATTCATGAAGCTGTAAGCACACTCAACTAACTAGCCTTAAACAGGATAAAAAAGGGACATTTTGAATGATACTATGAAATCATATAAGTAATGAAATTAAAGAAAATAAATTTCACCACCCAGTAGCTGGGTGGTTGACTGAAATCCTCGAACCCATCAGGGAACAACTATCTATTCAGTCCCTTCTTGATATCTTTCAATTTGTTGAATGTATACAGGATACAAATGCTCTAAATAAGCATATGTTGTCTTTGGGTGTAGAATCCTAATTTGCGAACGTTCTCTATTATGGATAAGATTTTATTTTGATAAACTGTCACACAGTGTGGTTATACAGTAATATTAACTGATGACCACCTTTCGAGCACAAATTATTGTTGCTCATAATCATATCAAGTCATTACAAACACAACTGTTTTTCTTCACTTATATATATGTGTGGAATCGATTAGATATTGGAATAAAAATCAATGTGAGATAATGTCCATTCAGAAATAATAATACGAGTGTTGTTGATCAATTGCAGCTAGATGGGAAAAAGGACGAGTGTTTTTTACAGTCATAATAAGCTACTTGTTAGAATGTTGTGTTTGAATTGAAATAAAAAATTTTAAGATTATTATATTATTTATTATCTTCTGATTTTAAGGAAGATCAGTAAAAACCAAAAGCAAAATAAAAATAGTGCTGAGACTATTAATGATAACACAAATAAGAGAGAAAATGAGTTATCCACTGTTATACCATATAAAGAGGGGACATGTGAGGCCATCCCTACGTAGGATTCTTAATAAAGCAGGAATTAGGGTTGCATTCAAACCTAAAAACTAACTCAGATAGGACAAGCTCTGTAGACTAAAAGACCTGGTGGATCCAATTAAACAAAATATTATAATTTACAAAATACCTTGCGATGACTGTGAGTTAAGTCAACTACATAGGTCAAACTAGTAGATCGAGGATAATCAGATTGTCGGTACATAAGAATTTGGCTAAGGCAAGAATGATTGACCTCGAGAACATAAGTAATTTGGAAAAAAGCTCAGCAGTTGCACTGCATGCATTAACACAAAACCACACAATAGGCTGGGAGAGGGTTAAGATTCTAAAAAGTAATCTAAGTAGGTGGAGATAGAGAGAGGTTGATTACTGAATCCTGGTTCATTGAGTCTACACCCAAAATATGCAGCAGAAATAACTCAATGCAAATACCAGAAATATCGAAGACATTATTACCGCCAGTCAGCAGTCAAATCAGAGGAGGATAATAAATAATCTTAAAATTCTATTTCAATTCAAGCACATCACAACATTCTAACAAGTTACTTATTATGACTATAAAAACACTCGTCTTATTTCCCATCTGATTGTAATTGATCAATAACACTCGTATTATTAAATCTGAATGTACATTATCTGATACTGATTTTTAATCCAATATCTAATCGATTCCACACATGTATATAAATGAAGAAAAACAGTTGTGTGAGTGAGTGAGTACCTTGATATGATTATGACTGACAATAGTTTGTGCTCGAAAGGTGGTCATCAGTTAATATTACTGTATAACCACACTGTGTGACAGTTTATCAGAATAAAATCTTATCCATAATGGAGTTATACTCTACAACCACAGTGCCTAAGTTTTATACTTATATCAATAATACGAACGTTCTACTGACACAGAAACCATATGTTTTATATGCAAATATTTTGAAGACAACTACAACTTGACAATGATATTGTCGAAAAAAAGGAAGGAGTATAACTCTTCTTCACTGATGAACATCTTTTTCTTTTAATATTATTTATTTACAGTATTATTTATGAATATTATACAAGTGGTGACACTACTAACTAAATTATAAACAAAGTTATTGTGATGATAATACAATATGTTTTTTTTCTTCAAAAAACATACAACCAAAAACAGTTTGCTTGTTTTTTTTTTCAAGTATAGACAAGTCGTTTAATCTGTGGTGCTATATCCTCTGGCCACCAGGCTGGTATATAGGGTATAATTTGTAATTTTATTTCATCAGTATTCCCTGTAGATGATGACGACGGCGACGACGATGATGGATGATGATGATAGTGGTGAAACTATAAGTTTATAAGATTGCTGTTGTTCACTGGCTTCAGTTAAACGTATCAATGCTATCCCACTAATTGGATATTGATTTTGATCAATATTCATGCATATATTATCATATTTATTATTACTATTAGTAGTACTAATAATATTGCATAGATTAACACCTCGAATCCATCCAACTGGTTTTAATTTCGACTGGATTAATTGATAATCTTCATTCACTTGATATATTGGAGCATTATACAAATCTCTAATTCATCAATAATACAAAAAATAAAGAAAAAAAGAAGATAAGAATTAAATAGAAATAATTATCTTTCATAATTAATAGTGTTCTCTGAGCTGAAGGTGTGAAAAGAGGGCAAGGTGTACCTGAGGATTGGAAGAAACGATACTTATTGAAACTACCAAAGAAAGGAGACTTAAGTCAATGCAAAAACTGGCGCGGAATTATGCTCCTGTCCATTCCAAGCAAAATACTAAGCCGCATCATCCTGGAGAGAATCAAACAAGCCAACCTGGGTGCAAAACTCCGACCGGAACAAACTGGATTCAGGAGAAACAAGTCATGTATTGATCAAATCGTCACTCTACGGATCATCATTGAACAAAGCGTAGAATGGCAGTCACCTCTCCACCTCACTCAATTTCATCGACTTTGAAAAGGCTTCGACAGCGTCGATCGAGTGGTCATTTGGCAACTACTTCGCTACAACTGTGTGCCATCGACAATTTTACATCTCATCCAACAGTTATACGACAGTGCTCCATGCCAAGTAATCCACAACGGGAAACTTACGGAAGCCTTCGAAGTGATGACGGGAGTGAGGCAAGGCTGTCTACTATCACCAATGATCTTCCTGATTGCAGTAGTTTGGATAATGCGACAAACAACGGGCAATGAGGAAACAGGCATAAAATGGACTGACACAAAAAACTTGCAGGATCTGAACTTCGCTGATGATGACATATGTCTGATTTCCCACAAACTGGAAGATATGCAAGTGAAAAGCAACAAGCTGTCAGAATAAGCATCAAAGATAGGACTTCAAGTGAACATAGATGAAACAGAGGTGATGAAGATTCCTAGCCAACACCAACAGCAGCAACAACAACAGACAACAATCAGCATAAATGGGAGGAACCTGAAAGAAACAACCTCATTTACCCACCGACCTGGGAAGCATCGTTTCAACTACAGGCGGAACTAACGAGGATATCAAAGCCAGAATCGCAAAAGCAAGACAAGCTTTCATTACTCTCAAATCTGTGTGGAGGTCAACTGTCAGCACTCACCATCAAAAATAAGATCGAGATTTTCAACTCCAATGTAAAGTCAGTGCTTCTATACGGATCAGAGACTTGGCGCGTCATAAAGAGAATCCCGAACAAACTTCAGACTACCTTCATTAACAGCTAACTGTCTTCGCTCAATACCACTCAAGATCAGATGGCCAGTGAGAAAAGATCAGCGACAGGGATCTCTGGCAATGAGCGAATCAATTCAGCAGGAACCGATTGTGAAACAAATAAGCAGGAAGAAATGGAGATGGATTGGCTGGCCATACTCTGAGGAAACAAATCATCAAGTGACATCACTAGACAAGCTATTGCTCGAGTGGAACCCGATTGAAAGGGAAGCAGCCAGTTGGTCGTCCACGGTGGGGTGACTTGGAGGAGGAGGCCATGTGAAGAGGAAATGAAAGCGTGTGGGAAGACATGAAGCGGGGTGAAAAAGTTGGCGTAAAACAGAAGGCAATGGAGACGCGCAGCAGAAGCCCTATGTTCCTCTAGGAATTAAAGGATATAATACTAATAATAATCTGAGCTGGTTGGTTTAGTTGCGGAGCTTTCGTCGTCCTTGTAGACAACATCTTCAGCGCAGTATTTAGCATAAAGTGAAATGATTTAAATTTCTTCATGAGTGATAGAATTGCGTCTCCCGGTAACCATCTTTTCATATGTATTGACTATTTTCTATTGATTTCGACATTATCCCAATCATAAAACTGATGTCCATAATTGTCTGTATGTATTGATACTAAAGAATTTATATCATGTCTTTTCACTATTGATTTGTGTTCTTGGATTCTAATACGAAGGGGACGCCCTACTTTGTTGACCGACGTAATGCCTATTACAGTTCATACAACTTATTTTGTAAATGGTATTAATTTGATCTCCTTTTTCTGTTGGATCTGTTGGCTTGCATAATATCGAATTAAGCGACTTAACTGGGGATAAAATTAATACCATTTACAAAATAAACTGTATGAACTGTAACAAGCATTACATCGGCCAGAGGGGGCGTCCCCTTCGAATTACAATCAAAGAACACAAATCAGCCGTGAAAAGACAATATATATATATATATTCTTTCATATCAATACATGTAGACAATTATGGACATCAATTTGATTGGGATAATGTCGAAATCTTAGACAGAAGAAACACCAAAAATGCCACCAGGGAATTCCTACAAGTCTGGTACTCAAACGAATATGCAATTAACAAACATGTTAACATATAGACGAAATATACCACCAACTAATAAAAAGTAAATCATGTGAACAGAAAGTTTCAAATCCAAGTCAATAGAAAATGGTCAATACATGTGTAAAATGGTTATCGGGAGACGCGATTCTGTCACTCATGAAAAATTTAAGTGATTTCACTTTATGCTAAATACTGCGCTGAAGGGAGATGTTGTCCAGAAAGGTGGACGACGAAAGCTCCGCAACTAAACCAACCAGCTCAGAGAACACTATTGATTACAAATCATCCACATGAGCTACAAATCTCTATTATTTCAAAAGAATTATCTTTATATAATTTCTGTCTCTCTATCTGTTTTCAACATAGAACTTTGCACCGATGTGCAGCAGTTTGATTCGCCACATTCCCTCCATGTGGCACACAAAGCCAGAGAAGAAAGTAGAAGAAATGCATAATAGGGACAGTAAACAGAGGTGTGAGACAAAGGAATAGTAATAACGAAAAACAAAACAGTTTCATTGAAAATCATAAGCCACAAGGAGTGGATGCATCTGCGCTAGCCACTGAGAACGATTTTGAGCCATATGACCAATTTTCTCCAGTCTCCATTGGCTTTTACCGTCCCGAGGAAGTCTACACCTTCCTACGTGACTGGCTGACTTAAACTCACTGTTGTGGACTTCATTGACTGGTGAGGCCATGTTTTGGTTTGACCACCGCTAGCTCTTTTTCAGCCTGACCTTATGTCAGCTAACGTTACCCGTTGTTGAGGAAGGCGATGGTTAGACATGCGAAACACATTTCCTAACCATCTCAGTCGATGTAGCTTCACAGCCTCGTCGACTGATTTCCCCTCCCTGCTTACCTATGACTCGACCTATGCCTAACCTCAGTATTGCTTACCCTATTATTCCAATTCACACGGGAGATAGAACGCAGGCACCTACGATCAAAGACAGCTTACCGGCTTTTTCATATCTTCCACTTTCAATAGCCATATATCGCTCCCAGCCATAAAGGAGGACGGGGCGGACTGCTGAGAAGTACACACGACCTTTACATCAATTATCCCCATTATCAATTAATATTAGAACAGGACATTATAAGCGAACACTGTCATAACGACTAGAACGCTCGCGGACTATGCACATGGTCCTGGGTTCGGTTTGCAGCCAACGCACACCTGATATCAACAGTCGGCCTGTTAAATTTGGGCTACCGATATTACATGTTGAAAATTCCATACTTGTGCCGAAATGCTGCGTGAAATCAAGCTGTAGTAATAAAAAATGTTTTTTTTTTAAAAAAAAGTATTGTTTACGTTGGATAGCACCGTCGCGTGAGTAATTCTGAAATCTGGAGATGTATGTTTCTTTTTGGACACAATGAAGATCGACATCCATTGAATGTCGTCATCTGGACATCTGCTGGAAAAATGTCATTCCAGAGGTTTCTGTTCGCTAGCCAGCCCTGGGACGACGGGATGGAAAAAGTGAGTGGAGGTGGTCATCGGGATGAAGGACATTTGTCGTAAGTTAGTATGTATCGGTTGGTGCATCACAACTGCTTGTCAGTTGGAGTCCGACAGATAGCTCAAAATGTTATCGGATAAGGCTAAGAATTGTAATCACTAGTGATGAAAGTGCTGTAATTCCCCTTCTTTCTTTCCTTTTCGACAATAATTGACAAATGCTATTTGAACTTGTTAAAATATGACTGTTTTCTTTCTAGATGAAGTGTATACATAGTCCTTTCTCTGTCTATATTTTTTTTTTACTTTTGACCTATGTCGTTTTTTTATTATTGCTATTATTATTTTGTGGCGCGTCATTTTGGTAACATCTTATACCGAATATTTTTTTTGTTTAAATAACAAAACAAATAGTTGTTTTTAAAGTAGATCTTTTTCAGGCTTTCTACTCTAGTTTGCATAGCTTTACATTTAAAAAAAATTTCACCAATGACCATCTCATTATTTTGCTTTCACATTATAGTCGTTGTTATTATTTCTGAGATTCAAAACACTTAACACTCTTGAAAATTAATCTGATGTTTGTTAGTGACTGGCTATAGTTAGTCTAAGCCACGTAGGAAGGTGTAGACTGGCTTCTTGGTTGGGGTCCTCGAGATAGTAAAAACCAATGGTTGGAAACAATTGGTGACATAGCTCAAAAGCGTTCTCAATGGCTAGCGCAGATTCATCGATTCCTTGAGATTTACGATTTCCAATGAAACTATATTGTTCTTCGTTATTAGTATTCCTTTGTCTCACACCTCTGTTTACTGTTTCTATTATGCATTTCTTCTATTTTCTTCTCTTGCTTTGTGTGCTACATGGAGGGAGTGTGGCGACTTGAACTGCTGCACATCGGTGCAAAGTTCTATGTCGAAAACAGACAGACAGATTACCTACAGGACAGACTTTCCTGGAGCTCTAGTGAGAAATCGTGGGGTCCACTAGCAGGTCGGGAGTGAGGACTAATACTCACCATGGATGACGTTGACTGATGCCAGTCGCGCTAAATTCATCACGCATTGGTAGAATTTAAAATTTATCGGCTGACCACTGAATCGCGTCCCAGCGAGCTTGACTTGTAACTGGAAGGTCCTGGAGTTCAAAACCTATCGGTGGGTGCATGCTGATGCTGAGTCCTAAAATATGACGAAATAGCAGTCCAATACTCCCTAGTTTCAATGGCTCTCTAATTGATATCAATCAATGGGCAAACTTGAAACAAACCAAATCCCTAAAGACCGACTCTTGGAAAAACCTACTATTATTTGATCCACACAAAATCACCGTCATTGGTTAATTCTTTTTTAAATATAAAGCTATCTCAATTAGAGTGAAACCTGAAGAAGATCTAATTGAAAACAGCAATATTGTTTGCTTATGTCTTGTTCCAACATTAACTATTGTAAATTCAGTAATATATAAAGCATTCATTCATATTCTTCAGTACTGATTGACCGACAGTTTTAACAGAACCTAGCATAGAAGTGCACCAGTTTGAAGTTGACACACTTCATGTAGCACACAAAGATGAAAAAAAAAGACTCAAAAAAAACCAAAAGAATGGAGCAGAGATGATTAGAAAAAAACACGACAGTTTAATGAATATCGGGGATCATAGAGAGTGAATGCATCTGTATCATTGAGAACACCATTTTGACCCATGTCATCACTAATAGTCTCAAACCATTAGTTCCCAGAATCCCGAAGACCTCTCAATCACGTGATGTACACTTCCCAAAGTAGCTCGAACAAATTGTCAAAGACTTCATCAACTGATATCAGGTTTTGATTTGATCACCCACCCCTACTTCTTACACAACCCTTAATCCTGTTCCATTATAGGTAAGATTTATTTTGATAAAGTCTCATATTGTTATACAGTAATATTTACTGATGACGTTTCGAGCACAATTTATTACCGCTTATAATCATATCAAGGTACTCACACAACTTTCTATCTTCGTTTATATAATTCCATCATTTTTCATCGCTTGATTTGATTGGTAGTAGTATTTTCTATATTTCCAGTGTAAGTGATTAGTCATGCCTATTGCGTATATTGTATGTGGAGTTGATGAACAAGGATTCAGTAATCAACAGTACTATTGTAACAACAGAAGACAAGGGCTGGCAACAGATCTTTTTATTACGGAAATCAACACGTATTGATATATATTTCACATACATTATTATAGCTTAGTCAAGTAGACAAACGCAGGCTTCTGATTGGTTGTTTCGGGTGACCATCGGAAAATATAGCCATCTATCTGCGAATCATATTTGCCCACGTTTAAGTTTGGTGGGATTGGTTGTTGAATCAGCCTTGTTCATATTTTCTCACGGCCAATATTAGTGACCTAGACATTGACGTAGATTAATGTCTACCAATTGGCTAACAGCCTGCTCTCATCACACTATTACTGTATAACACTATGAAACTTTACCAAAATAAATTTTACCCATAATGGAATTACACCCTACCACAGTGCACAAAGTTCTATTCTTATATCCCCAATCTTACGTTGGTTAACACCGCCCATCGAGCAAGGCATGTACAACACGTGCCCCAGTCATATCAATCGATTCAGCTTAACAACTGCACTGAATGACCTACCCTCCTTCCCTAACACATAACTCTTATCTTCAATATTACTCACCATATTATATCATTTATTTAGAAAACAGAAAGATTGAGCGAGCGAAGAAATATTTACTTTTCATTTAGATCCTCATCTCTGGCTCTATTTTAATTGAAAAGTAAATATTTCTTCACTCGCTCAATCTTTCCGTTTTCTAAATGTCTAAATGGGGATTTTTTCTATATCACTTCTTATTTAACACAAGAGATAGAAAGTGAACACCAATTGTCTCAAGTCGTTTCATCAATAGCCACCGGGATATCACGTATACATGAGAGATGACGTAAGTTAAAAATGTCATAAGGGCATTTTGTATCCGTGCGCAGACTTCATCATCAGTCATTCCTTCTATTAGGGATGATACAACTTCCCAAATACAAGTGAGATAGATGGTCAACACGCTCCACCAACCACCTCACTGCCTATCTTTAAGCTAGGAGTAAGTAAGTGCAGTCCAGTCCAGTCCTCTAGTATTATCTTATATTTAACAGAAGCGAATTGCATACCAAATATTCGAAGATTTCCGCTCAGAAAACTCTGCACTTCATCAGTGTATTCATCTGGGAGGACAAGATAATCTGCATATTTTAAGTCAAAGAGATTATTCCCTGGTAACATATCAACCTCTAAGTCACTCAAGTCAGTTACACACAATTTCATTAGTACACCTATGATGAAGCTAAACAAAAATGGGGACAGTAGACATCCTTGACGGACACTGCTGGTTGTCATCCCTTAAGATGGGGGACTCTCCATAAGCTTTTACATGGTCGTATAATGTTTGCATCAAAACTGAAGGATGTTTTAGTTAATCTTAGAATCTCTTCACGTGTATACTGTGGTTCATTATAGTTCTAGGTACTCAAATTCTCGTTAGTGGGTCACGGGTTCGAATCCCTCCTGCTTCACCTAGAGGTTTGGACAATTCTAGGTAATATTATTAGCCCTCACAAACACACACACACACACGACAGATGTGGATCACTGAATCTAACTGCGTTGAACTGTAACATTCCCTAGGTAAGTTTATCTGAGGATGCAAAGACATCCCTGTCTTATTTAGAAAGGCTCAAATTAAGTTCATAATAAGTTTAGTTCTATCGCATTCGGTAGGACATCACACAGATTCTGGCAAAATCTTTAAGATCATATATCACATTGTAAACACAGACTGTTGACGTAGCTGAAGCTGTTACAACGATATCGACCTAGCAGCCAGGATATATATATATATAGACTTTTATAGCCTCCGCGAATTGAGTCCTATTCACTACCTTTATGCGACTCGGGTGTTCCTTACAAAAGCGAAAAGGTGAATTCAAACGTCTACTGTCTACAACCGGACTGGTGGACACATACAGGTCTACCCAAAGGCGCTAGCGTCAAATGAACAGAGAGAAGGCAGAACCGGTGAAGATATCTAACCAAAAACTTCAGGCAGCAATCACCACCAAAGAAGAAGGTCACTTCTTTCGCTTACACCTATACAGCATTATTTCAACTACAAGTGAAATGAATGAGGATATCAAAGGTAGAATAGAATAAGTAAGATTGAGCTTCAGCATCCAGGCATTAAGCAACAAAGTTCAGATTTCTAACACTAATGACAAATCACTTCTTCTATACTTTACTATACGCTTTGAAAAAATTGGCTCACTTGAGCCACCAAGATCATTTCGAACAGGCTACTTCGAAATTTTATCAACAGCTACCCACTTTGATATATACTGAAGATCAGATGGTAGGTTAGAAAGGATAAGCAATAAGGAATTCTGACATCAAACTAACCAAGAAGTTATCACCTGACAAATATGACGAGGGGAATGAAGACGAATCTGATACACGCTGAGAAGACCATTGCAGTAACATCACGAAAAACACCTCCAAGCAACGAGCTGGGTGTTCAGTCCAAATTGTGACCTGTAGGAGATTCTGTGATGTTTATTTATTCATTTAAACGCAGAAAAACTTGGTACAATGTGACACTAAGACGATGTGCCACACAATAATAATAATAAAACAACATAGATCAAAAGTAAAAACATGGGTGCAGAGAACGGATAAAGAACTTCATCTGCAAGGAAAACAGTCATACCAAACAAGTTCAAACAGTGTTCGTCAACTATCATCAAGAAGGGAAGAAAGAAAGAAATTGCAACACGTTCGCCATTGACTACGATTTTTGGCCATATCCAATACCGTTTCAAGCTGTCTCTTGGACTCCAACCAAGGAGACGTGACGCACCAACCGATGCTAACCTAGCACAAATATTCTTCATCTTACGACCCCACGTCATGGACTGACCACCTCTCCGCCTTTTCCATCCCGTCCCAACGCTGGCTAGCTGGTGATCTCCACTGTGTTCAAACACATACTGCCGAACCATAGAGTTACTCATATGATGATGCCATCGAACGCAAGCAATCCTGCGGAGACAGCGATGATCGAACATGCAGAGCAGCCACACACCATTAGCTCAGAGAGGCCAGATTTCACAGGCATAGAGCAAGACAGCCCGCACCGAAGCAATGTATACCCGACCTATGACAGCCTCCTGTGATGAGGAAGAAATGAAAGCAATTTTAGTGTCAGCTAAACAAGACTACAGAAGAACATGGTGGATTAGAGATGTGCTGCTGAGGACCTATGTCTCACTCGGAACCCAAGGGAACAATAATATCGACAGCGCCAACCAATGTCATCGTCAGGGGGTCTGTCCTTACATCCGACTTGGTGGACCCTGCTGATCACGACTTCTCCCTACCAAGAACTGAAGAATTCCATCGCGTAGTCAGACAATAAACTAATTCCTAACTGGGAACGCCGACAGAGTAATGAAGGATATGTAAATATAAACAGAATATCTCCGACCAAAAAAAAACAAAAAACAACTCACTTTAATGTATTCGGTGATTTTAATAAATCTGCATTGCCTATTGCTATTATTTTAACTGGTACATATCTTCGACGTATAACCCCAGTGAAGTGTGTACGTGCTGTCAACTCTTGACCAATATAACATCCTTTAGAAAAACTAACTCCACCGGATAAATCGGTGTTTGCTTCAAACGGTAAAGTATCATTTGTAATGAATTCTTCAACACCTTCTGGTAGACCTAATTTCCAACGTGCTTGATGATATAATGTTATATCAAGGGATGCTGTATCACATGATGGAAAGATATCACATACTGTAGAAATATACAAAAGTAAGAAGTTACATATAGGGCGTCAATAATATCACACATACTTAAAAAAGTAATAACAGGAACATTTGGCGAAGTTAAACTTTCGACACCACTAACTACCAATCAGTGAATTATCCTATGAGATTCACGATGTCGAATTATCCAATGAGGTTCACGAACGCAGTCCAATGTTGTATAGCGCTTGATTTATTTCTAATGCGTGACCTTACAAAGCTATTGTTGCAATTCGAGGAGGTTAGCGTTTTCCAGTATTCCCTGGATTTGAGTTGCGCCGGAAAGAGCGAATTTGTTTGTGTGGTGGCATCACACCTTTAAAAAGCTATACCAAATCAACTGATGGGTTTGTTCATCGTTGTGCTATATGTTTGAAGCCTACTAACGCTAGAGAGAGTAAGCTGATAATTTTAATATTTCGTAGGAACTTTTTTCGCTAGGTCGCTTCTCTCCCTAAGGATAGCAGATAGAAAAGCAACTACTCTTATACCTATTATTACCAGACTTGTTAAGCGGGGGTCAATTATACACACCGACGAGTGGAAAGGCTACAATTCACTGTCATCTCTGGGATGTATTCATCACAGAGTCAACCATTCAAGTGATTTTGTGGATCCCGTTACGAGGACACATACAAATTCTATTGAATGATTTTGGGGCAGGTTGAAAAATAGGATAAGGGCTTTAAGTGGATCTCAAAAGGATCTCATTTATGGTCATTTGGATGAATATATGTACAGGATGTGGTGTAACTTCTCCATTGACAGTCCCATGCTAAACTGGGAGATGTTTTTCTCACATGTTCGAGAAAGATATCCCATGTAACTTTTTTATTCTCTATTTTATGCTTTTTTTCTATAAATATACATTTTCATTCATCATATATGCCTCTTTAATGTGATTGGCCCGTTCAAAGTCGTTTGCTGATTGGTTGTTAGTGGTGTCGAAAGTTTAACTTTGCCGAACATTTTACTTAACATATAATGTAAATGGTTGGAAGCAATCAGTAGATAGCCCTTCTGGGACCTAGGTTTCATACTAGGTTGGTTGGTATGTGTTACAGCAGGGCACATCTGTGTCACCCACCCAGTACTGAAAGTTAGAGACTTTACACCACTGTGTTATTTGACCTCATTATTGACCCCATTATGGATAAGATTTTATTTTGATAAATCACACAATGTTGTACAGTAATAACTAACTGATGACCACCTCTCGAGTACTCTTTCTGTTTGCTCGCTTAGTCTGTGACCATTTCACTTTGATGAACCTGTCTCCTTTAACAATGTATATTCCCCTTATATTATATTATATATAATATGAGTGTTTGTTGACAGTCCGTTGCTTGGTGACATATATCCATATATGGTGGTTGTTGACATGTCTGCTATATTTCGCTATGTATATATGGATCGATACTTCATTATAATTAGCCATTCATGTTAAGACTGTCCAATAATTTGTTCACACACTTTGTCTGGAACATTCATATATATTTCGCATTCACAACCTGTGTGACTTTACTTACCACTTTTGGTGTGAGACCACTTTTGCATTCTCCATGTGTTTGGAAAATAGAAGTATCATCGCAAACCTAGTGGTCTTCTGATTTCCGCTTTCTTGCGTCAGGACTATTAAATTCTCGACCAGTACATAACAATAATTTGGCGACGAGTACATAACAATTTGGCGACGGGGAAAACTACTACTAACCACTCAACAGCAGCAACATAACAAGTACAAACTGTTGCCAGTCATAATCATATCAAGGTACTCACTCACTCACACATCTCTCTTCCTTCATTTATATACATGTGTGGAATTGACTGGATATTTAAATAAAAATCAGTATAGGATAATGTGCATTCAGAAATAATATTAATATGAGTGTTATCAGTCAAATACAATCAGCTGGGAAATAAGACGAGTGTTTTTTTATAGTCATAATAAGTAACTTGTTAGAATGTTGTGATGTGCTTGAATTGAAATAGAATTTTAAGATTATTTATTATCCTCTTCTGATTTGACTGACTGACTGGTGGTAATAATATCTTCCATATTCCTGGTATTTGCATTGAGCCATTTCTGTTGCATGTGTTGGGTGTAGACTCGATGAATAAGGATTCAGTAATCAACCTCTCTCTCCATCTACATAGATTACTTCTTAGAATCTTAATCCTCTCCCACCCTATTGTGTGGTTTTGTGTTAATCCATGCAGTGCAACTGCCGAGCTTTTTTCTAAATTACTTATGTTCTCGAGGTCAATCATTCTTGGCCTTAGCCAAATTCTTATGTACCGACAATCTGATTATCCTCGATCTACTAGTTTGACCTATGTAGTTGACGTAACTCACAGTTATTGCAAGGTATTTTGTGAATTATATTATTTTGTCTAATTGGCTCCACCAGGTCTTTTAGTCTACAGAGCTTGTCCTATCTGAGTTAGTTTTTAGGTTTGAATGCAACCCTAATTCCTGCTTTATTAAGAATCCTACGTAGGGATGGCCTCATATGTCCCTTCCTTATATGGTATAACAGTGGATGACTTGTATTCTCTCTTATTTATGTTATCATTATTAGTTTCACAATTATTTTTAATTTGCTTTTGGCCTTTTTCGATCTTCCTAATTAATTTTCATAGGATAGTTATTTGATACCGAAACCTCTTCTGTTTTATTTCAACATTTAGGTCTTTTCTTGTGCTACTTGGTGCTATTGCTCGGTTTGTTAGGCACTTAACTAAAACCTCTTTTGGTCACCGGGTAACCTATGTCATGAGTTAATGCAAATGGAATTCAATCATTGGTAAAAATTACACCTTTCGCGATGGCTAGCATTTATATTCGTCCTCTCTTGAAGTCCTCATTTAGATCTACCAGAATCCTAGTCAACAATGATTGTCGTTTTGACAAGAATACCACCACCAATATCAATCGGTCGTCACCAATCCAACACTTGGACACGAATCTATTGGTTATTATTAGTGACTTTCTGCAGGATGGACTTCCTGAAATTCTAGTGAGAAGTTATGACCACTTACGTCCACCTACTTGGGTGTCAAACAGACGCTTATCGACGGTAGTAGTTGACGCTGGTACTATACCACGAATTGACAGTAGTTATAATGCATGGACCATAGACATCCACTATCCTTCATATTCCTTTCTACCATTACCCATTCTGTTTCACTCTTATACTTGTCAGACTGTATTGATTCTCTTCACTCATCTTCTTGTCTACCTCTGTGTGCTATTTGGAAGGTGGCAACTCGAACTGGTGCACTTCGGTGCCAAGTTCTATGTTGAATCCAGACAGACAGATCCCAATGGTCGGATAGTGACGTGTTCAACTCGTAACCTAGACGTTCTGAGTTCAATACCTGGTAAGATTGTAAGTGCATACTGTTGAGGAGTCCCGGACTGGGACAAAATAGCCATCCAATACTCCCTGATTTTTCAGTGATTCTTTAAATGATATCCATTCGTAATGAGATCAGGTTTTCACCAACCTAACACTTCAGAATTTTTCAAAACCCTGATATCATAAGGAGACTTTCGGTTATGTATAAATGCAAATCATGTTAAAAGAAAGTTTTATACTTAACTAGAGTTGGTGGCACAGCGGTAAAATGCTCGCCAACCACGCAAGTGGTCCGGGGTTTAATCCCCGGCCACTGGACGCACTCCTTTACCTCGTTGAGCCAACAATAGGACTGGTAAAGAGGGAAGGTTGGGCCTCTAGCTTGAAGCCCTATGTTCCACTGGGAACGTGAAGGAAATAAAAATAAAATATTTAACTAGTCTTTTCTTTCGTTCCGATAATGTCTGTCAGTTAAATCTCTGTCTGTCTGTTTTCGACATAGAACTTCGCACAAATGTGAGGCAGTTCAAGTCGCTACATTCCCTCCATGTAGCACACGAAGCAACAAAAGAAAGTAGAAGAAATGCATATTAGAGACAGTAAACAGAGGTGTGAGACAAAGGAATAGTAATAACGGAGAACAAAACAGTTTCATTGGAAATCATAAGTCACAAGGAGTGGATGCATCTGCACTAGCCATTGAGAACGATGAATTTGAGCAATATCACCAATTGTTTCCGACCATTGGTTTTTACCGTCCCGAGGACCCAACCAAGAAATCTACACCTTCCTACGTGGCTGGCTGGCTTCAACTAACTGTTGTAGATTTCATTGACTGGTGCCATGCTTTTGTTTGACCACCACTAGCTCTTTTCCAGCCTGACCGTATATCAGCTAACATTGCTCGTCGAGGAAGGCGATAACTAGGCATACGTAACACATGTCCTAACCATCTCAGTCTTTGTAACTTCACAACCTCGTCGACTGATTTCCCTGCCTACCTAGAACTCGACGCAGTTAAATCTAGAGTGTCATTCAAAAAATAAACTGAATAAAAATGTTTTACATCATGAGAAAGTAAACTAATCTATGGACTAGATATCGAATTAAATCAATCACGAAAATTGTACTAAGCTACTTTAAATAAAAATAAGTGGTATATGATTAGATTCTTTTGTACGTACAAAAGTGAAAAGTAGAACATGTGTACGTGATATTTAGAAGCTAAATCATAACTAAAATCATTTAGTGCAAAACCTGTATATTGCCACTTACTGGAGAAGTTGCATCAACTAATTGTGGACAAACTCTTAGCACAGATACTAAAGGTTGTTGTAACATTTGCCAACCTACGGCATCTTCGGCACAGACATGACATCCGGCTGGCTGACTATTAATCAGAAGATGTGTGTCCTGAGCAGAAGTCTGCTCCGTTCTCCTTCATAGCTGAGAGACATAACTATTGAAAGTGGAAGATATCAAAAAAAAGATTAGCTGTCTTTGATCAGAGGTGTCTGGATTCTATCTCCCGTGTTAGGTGGTATATTAAGATGAGTAATATTGAGGTTAGGCATATAGTACTAGGACAAGGTGGGTGAGTTAATCAATGAGGTTGTGGTGGTGAATTGATTGAGACGACTACGCTATGTACTGAAGATGACGAGCAGTGTAACGATAGAAGACAAGGGCCAGGCAACAGATCGTTTATTGAGAAAATCAACAGATATTTATTATTATTAGCGTTACTGTTAGCAGAGAAGCAACGTCTTCTGATTGGTTGTTTTCTTGCTGAAGGTTATTCTGTACTTTTTGTAACCACTTCTCAGAAAGTTAAGCTACACATCTGCGAATCCTATTTGTACACGTTAAGTCTGCTGTGTTTGGTTCGTGAGTTCCTCAAGGTTAGGCTTCGTTATTGTTTTTCCCATGACCCTGATTCGGGACTTGAACATTGACTTAAATTACTGCCTACAGTATAGGCTTGCAGCCAGCTCTTACCACAGCAGTATTAGCCGATAACTGATCATGTTGAAAAGGAGTTAGGGGTGGTGATCAAACCAGAATCTGGAATCAATACATTAAAGTCTTTCACAGTTGGTCTGAATTAGTCAAGTAAGGAGGTGTAGGCTGCCTGGTAGGAGTTCTCAAGATGGCCAAGTTAAACTTTAAGCACCACTAACTACCAATGGCGTGCGACCGCAATAGTGACCTTGAAACGCTCACTGAGCAGATTAATGAAGCCTGGCAGATAATTTTGTATTCCATAAAATATGCTCATCGAAGTGTTATGCCATTAAATGGGATATCTGGCAAGTTTTGATGGTATTAGATGGTTGGAGGCAATCGGCCACAGGAAGCCTTGGACCTAGGTTTCGTGCTAGTTGGAACTCGTCAGCAAGGCGTATCTGCAACCTTGAAGGAACTCATTTCCCTTCTGAGATTCGAACCCGCGTCACTCAGTGCCTCCTGCAGTCAGAGACGTTACCACTGAGCTATTCAGGCTTGCGATTGACCTCCTGTAGGACTGTAGTGGATATTTGATTTGACACTAGTAACTAGTGTGATGCGTCTAGTCCCCTGATTGGTGTAGACTGAATTCTATCAGTCAGGTTGTAATGTGACCACCACTCTAGCTAAGCTCGCCATCACGGTGCACATTGATTTGATGGTATTAGATGGTAACGTCTCTGACTACAGAACTGGGTGACGCGAGTCAGAATCTCAGAAGGGAAATGAGTTCCTTCAAGGTTGCAGATCCGCCTTGCTGACGAGTTCCAACTAGCACGAAACCTAGGTCTAAGGCTTCCTGTGGCCGATTGCCTCCAACAATCTAATACCCTCAAATCAATGTGCACCGTGATGGCGAGCTAGCTAGAATGGTGGTCACATTACAACCTGACTGATAGAATTCAGTTTACACCAATCAGCGGACTAGACGTATCACACTAGTTACTAGTGTCAAATCAAAATATCTGGCAAGTTTCAGCTTAGGTTTCGGAACGATTAAGTTATGGTTTAAGCCAAGGACAAGTTGGGGTTAAGTTAATCTAATAAAGGCGACATTAGGGTTGTTTCGAGTTAGATTACAGTTAGTTAAGGGATACTTTCACGTTAGGGTTGGGTTTAGGAAAGATACCAAAATAGATTTTACGCACAATGGAATTACACTCTGTTGATACTCCAACCTAAAACTGAGAGCTATTGTTATCACATATGAGAGGAACGTATCCTCTGTAACACTTTTATACAGTTTTTACGGGTTTTTTCTCATAAATATATGCATTTCATACACAAAAATGCCTACTTTATGTGATTGGTGCGTCCAAGGTCATTCGCTAATTGGTAGTCGGTGGTGCTTAAAGTTTAACTTTACCCTCAAGATGCTTAGAACTAGTGGCTGTAGACTACTGACGATACAACTCAAAACTGTTCTCAATGACGTAGAGATGTGTTCATCACTCTCTATGCTCCTTCATATCCACTAAAGTGTCAGGCTCCTTCTGCTTTACTATCATCTCTCTCACACACACATTTTCGGTTATTATAATCCTTTCGAATTTCTTTTCCTCTTTATTTTATTGACCTTGGTGTGCTACATGGATTTTGACAATTTGAACTGTTGCACCTCTGTGAAAAGTTCTATGCTGAAACCCAGTCAGTAGTGTCTTAATAATTGATTCTCTGAGGGCTGAGATACTGCTCGGGCGCTCAGACCGAAGCAGGTAGTCTTAAGGGACCACCCCCGGAGCCTTTGACTTGGAGTCTAATCCTCAAGGCAGAGGAGCAGCGTCAGGAACTACATTCCCATAGTTACCGGTGAACAATACAGGTTCACACGTCATTTGATCCGACTGGATTCTGGAGCTCATGTACCCTATAGGAATTGCTTTTAGGGTCCTGAAGGGACATAAGTCCCAGCCAGTTTAGTTTGTTAGGTCACACTGAGGTATTTAAGTTCGACAACCACGAAAAGGTAGAAGTTGTCGGACGAGTCGGTGCCTTAATGGGTACATAATAAATGCTAAAATATGGCAAGAAAAAGAGTGGACCATACTTTCATATGATTTAGTTTATTGGTCGCATTGCATACTTGGACAAAAAAAACTAGGATTAGTATCTGGAAACTGATGATGGTTAGTTTAGTTAATATCCGAAAAAGACAACCAAATATACACACATACATACATACATACTGCATACATACCGTTCGCATCACTTTTTGATAAAATACGTCCAGACCATCCAGGTATACCTCTAGGATCTGATGCATAAAATATTAATTGTCGTTGATCATTGAAGTCAAATAAGTTAACTGGTAACCATGCTTTGGAATTATTTAATTGATAGGATGTTGGCATAGCAACCCATGGAGAGATCTGCAAACTAGTATCAATTTTAACCTATTAGACATAAAGGATATTCATAAAAAATATTAGCAATGATAATGATAGAAATAATAATATTACGATCATGATATGATAACAAGTTTGAATTAGGTTTTCTTAATAGCAAAAGGTATTTGAATATTTGGTGCGTCGGTAGTATAGCGGTTAGGACACTCGCCGACGATGAACATGGTCAGGAGTTCGATCCCCGGCCACCGACGCACTCCTCCCTTACCTCGCTATGCCAGAAATAATGCTGGTAAAGAGGAAAGGTTGTGCATGAAGCTAGCAAACCCATCCTGTAAAATATACACTGCTACAGAAACTTCAAGCCAATAGCTTGAAGCCCTATGTTTCACTGGGGAACGTGAAGGAAAAATAAGATATTTGTTTAGCTTCCAAAATAAACCACAATCTCAAGTAAGAAATGTAAACAAACTTTTCTCTCTTCGCGTCTCCAGTGGAGGCATAGGGATTGAGGTTTCGGTTTTCAATTTTCATTAGCTGTGGTGTTTTCCTACCCAATGCAGTTGCTGGCCTCATTGCCAACCCTCCCATCTTTACTGGGCTTACTAATGGCTAAGCTAAGTTTAGTAGTCGTCGGCGGGGAATCGAACCACAAACCACGCACGTAGTTTGTGAGCATTCTACCGTTGTTCCACCGATAAAAATCGCTGGGAAGTTTATCAGCAGTTAATCTTGTCCTTGCTGACTGACATTTTACACATTTTGTTCATATGAGAATTCGACATGTTAAAGTGCAACTAACGTGTACATGGTTATTGACTTTTGAGGTTTATCATATAGAAATCGATGAAGACGAGTATCCAGGTGACGTCAATCATTTTTCATGTGAGAAATTTATATCTGAACACTTATAAAGCCTCAGTTAAGTAGTCTAAATATCGGGGTTTGCTGTTGTTTTCATTTAGAGTTATAAATCCGTTTTAATGATAACGGCATCCAGACAGATTGAGTTTTGTCTGACATAGAACTTCACACAAAAGTGCACCAGTTTGAAGTTGCCATACTCCAAGTAGCATACAAGGGCAGGCAAAACAGATTTTAAAAAAGGATTCAGAAGAATAAAAATAAACAGAAATATTCGAAAGAAAACACGAGGGTTTATTGGATATGAGGTACAACAGAGAGTGAATGCCTCTGAGTGCGTTGGTGGCACAGAGGTTAGGACGGTCGCCGACCATGCACGTGGTCCGGGGTTCGATCCTCGGTCGATGCGCTACTTTACCCCGCTAAGCCGGGAATAATGTTGGTAAAGAGGAAAGGTTTGGCATGAGGCTAGCAACTCCATTCTGTAAAAATAAACACTGCTACAGAAAATTCAAGCCACTAGCTTGAAGCCTTATGTTCCACTGGGAACGTGAAGGAAAAGAATGTATCTGCGCCATTGAGAATGATTCTCAACCATATCACCATTAGTCTAAGGTCACTGGTTCTTACCATTTTAAGAACCGTAATCAAGCAGTCTAAACCTCCCTACATGGCTTAAACTAGCCGTCGAAGATTTCAATTTTTAGTTTGACTACCTCAAACTCTTTTAAAAACTGAATTCTCTGTTGGCCAACATTTTCCATCGACGGGACGATTACTCGATTGACTTCTTTTCCTTTAGTAACACTCTTCGCTTAACTTCAATATTACTGACCAGTATTGTATCACTTAACATGGAAGACAGAACGAAGACATCTATGATCAAAAACAGTTAGGTCTTTTCATATCTCTCACTTTCAATGGTCAATAGCGACATTTAGTATAAATGAATAAGGAAGAGAGTAAAGGTCACAATTGCTGAACCTTACTTCAATTGATAACTGACCATAAGCTATCATACAAGTACATATGCTTTTCTAAACTCCCTTCTGCAACTTGATAAACTTTTCGGATATCCAATTCGATGAAAAATATTATTTGATGTCCTATCTGGTAGTTAAGTGAAACAATAGTTAGAATTTAATCGGTTATCTCTATTTGTATTTCCTATTATATACATATATATATGGTTGAAAAATATTGTAATTTCAGTCAAGCAGCTTACATAACACATTGTTCCTACCAGGTTATGAAACGTCGTTCAACAACCATGTGGTCACCACCCAAAACTAGTGCACTGATCAAGTCACTCTACTCGAACTCATGCAGCCAGATGAAGGCTTACGGCCAGTTGTCATTTGAGCTGGTGACGACTAATGGTGTCCGTCAAGGATGCCCACTATCCCTATTTCTATTCAATTTCATCATAGATATACTAATGGAGTTAATCCCAAGTGACTTCAGCTACTCAGAGGTTAACTTGTTACCATGGAATAACCTCGTTGACTTAAAATATACAGATGATATAGTCCTTCTAGGTGAAGACGCTGACAAAATGCAGAATCTTCTGAACCCCTTGAGCTGTAATCTAGTAGTCTTTGGCATGAGATTCATTCCCGCCAAATGTAAGATGTTACAGGACTGGACTACACTGACTCCTAGCTTAGAAATAGGGAGGAAGTAGTTGGTGGAGCTTACTGACCACTTCACTTATTTGGGAAGTTGGCCCAGCTTCAACAAGTCGATCGCTGACGAAATCTGAGCACAGATACAGAGGACTAGTTTCGCATGTGGCAGTTTACGCCATCTCTGGAGTAGACGTGACACATGGCTGGCTGTAGACCAAATGGTGAGTGTACTGCTCAGCAGTCCTCTCCGTCCTCCTTTATGGCTGTGAGACCTAGCCATTGAGAGTGGAAGATATGAAAAGTATAAAACTTGGGCACTGTGGTAGAGTAAAATTCCACTATGGATAAGATTTTATTTTGGTAAATCACACTGTTATATAGTAATATCAGTTAATATTACTGTATAACACTGAGATTTATCAAAATAATATCTTATCGGTAATGAAGACATGAAAAGACTAGCTGTCTTTGATCATAGGTGCCTGCGTTTTATCTCCCATGTTAAGTGGGATAATAAGGTGAGTAGATACTGAGGTTAGGCGTCGATTGCTAGGTAAGGAGGGAAAATCAATCGAAGAGGCTGTGAATTTACATCAACTGAGATGGTTAGGATATATGTTATGCATGCTAGCGTAGCCATCACCTTCCTCGACAATGGGTAACGTTAGCTGATATAAGGTCAGGCTGAAAAAGAGCTAGCAGCAGTCAAACCAAAACATGGTTTCATCAGTCAATGAAATCCACAACAGTTAGTTTAAGCCAGTCAGTCACGTAGGAAGGTGTAGACTTCCTGGTTGGGGTCCTCGGGACGGTAGAAACCAATGGAGGCTGGAGACTACATGTAATATGGCTGAAAATCGTTCTCAATGGTTGGCGCAGATGCATCCACTCCTTGTGACTTATAATATCCAACAAAACCGTATTATTCTTCGATAACACTATTCTTTTTGCCTTATATCTCTGTTTACTGTCTCTATTTTGCGTTTCTTCTTACTTTCTGCTCTTGCTCTGTGTGCTACATGAAGGGAGTGTGGCGACTTGAACTGCTGCACATCGGTGCAAAGTTCTACGTTGAAACCAGTCAGTTATTCAGTCACATCTGTTCTGGCTATTGATAATTCAGTCAAAAGCTCTCCAAAAATCTTTTACACATCTATATTACATCGAAAAAAGTGATTGGTGTAGCGTAATACGCATTCTCGACACTATTTTCATAGCCAGACAATGCTAGAACACTTTACGCGATCGACTCCAATGCCGTCTTTGGAGCAAGAAACAGATAAAGGAAAGAAGTTCACCCTTATTGATCGAAGTGTCTAAGACGTGTCACGTATGCTAAAAATCTGCCTTTACTAACAAGTGGTGTTAGTTGAAGCATGAAGATTAGCATGAAAAAGAGTTATAGAGTGCATTGTGAAAGCCGTGTAATAGAGCCGCTGTAAAAAAACGGGCTGACCATTGGCTGTCTTAATGTCAGAATACGAGAAATTTATAATCCACGGTTAATGCAAAGTCGAGAAAAGTTGTCACACCTGACCTAAACGGGTTCTGTTTAAGCCACTTAATCGACGACCTTCGAAAAGAAAAAAATTCGCTTAACCATTTACGTATAAGACATCATAACAGAATCTTCACTGAAGATATTTAAAGGCAAAGCACAACAACTTACTTTTCCGCGTAAATTATATCGCGACAAGTGTTTTACAAGTTCAGGGGCATAAGCCTTATCAACTTCAATGATATAATTAGATTCACCTGGTGATAATCGATCAGTATGATAGATAAATGTGTCAGTTAAAACTCGACCCTAGAATACACAGACATAAAGTCTTATTATCTGAACAGGAAAGAAACGAAGTAAATTATACCTTAGAATTTAAGAATAAAGAATAGACGAAAGAATTCGGTTGACTTATGCACTTGATATCATTGGTGATAAGACCTTGTAAAAATTCATCTGCTGATTTACCATGAAGGCATATTAGACTTTTTTCTTTCAATTGCCCAATACTTAATAAACGTCTGGGCAGGTAGGTGATGTAGTAGCGTAAACATTGTCTGCTACTTAAGGTTATCATGATGTATCATCGAAGTCACAATAACCTGACCTAAAAATGAAATATATAAGCATAGTTTAAATGTTACTTGGTACAAAAATACAAAATAATAGTACTCTATTTCTTTGTTAAAAAAGAGATAATACTAACAGTAACAATGAAAGTTGGAGAATTGTGGTTAGTTGTTGTGATTAAATAACTTACACAACTAGTGAAGAAGTGGAGAAATAAATGATATAATGAACTAAGATGGAAACAGGCAACCACGCTTACACTCAAAAACTGAGGCATATGTGAGCTGAATATATTACCGAAGATTGGCTTTAAAATTGTAACCTACCGGTTAGCAGTCGAATTCTTAAACCAGTAAGCTATAGTTCTAGAAGACATAATTGTTTCCATGAAGTGATGAAAGAAAGTAGGAACAAAATTAGTTAGTGGTATCTCACACTTTCCTTATGATAAGAGGATGGAGCATTTAAATCTCTTCTCGTTATCATACCGAAAGAAAAGAGGTGACTTAACTTTAGCATACCGTATACTTAAGGGTGATTTAGGAACCGACCTTTCTAACCTTCTCTCCCCTTCTAGGATACATTTACGGGGTCACTGCAAAAAGGTGCTCAGACCGAGGAGGATTAAAATACGTGAAGAATTTAGATTCTCTCACAGAGTGATCAACGACTAGAACTCCTTACCTGATTCAGTACTATTAGCTCCATCGGTGAACGATTTCAAATAGAGGTCAGATCTCTGCAGAGATATATTTTGCAAGGATTAACACAGGCCACAAGAGCCTTCTATCCTTATCATCTGAATCTGAGCAATTAGATAAATTTACCTGAACGTATCAATCGCATCACCATTTACATCTAAAAATGTCACTCTTTAAGTGGTTTCACTATGTGAAGACCAACAGTTATTGGATTCTGGACACCTTATCAGACCTAAAACTTCACTAACACAAAATGTAATGAAAGCTGTGTGTAAATACTGTTGACCAGGTATTGTTATGGATACCATATTTCTATCATTTCATCCTACGGCCTCCGTAAATGAATAAAATGTTGAGCCATTATCTGAGTATGGCCCATATCCATGTGGCCGAATATAAACTAAACTCTTGAGTTTAACTTTATTACAATTATAATTTGATTAAGTGAGTCAAAAATATTCCAAATTAGGCCGAATTGTCCCTATTCACATATCAGTATCACATTAAAGATAGACAAGACATTGATTAATACAACCAAACGATGTATAGCCAACAGAGAAGGGTTGACCAGGTTAAAAAAAAAACATGGATTACAACACAGACGAAGTATAAATCAATCTGACGCAGTGTTATACATACGATGTTGCATGTGTCAACAGTTGAAAGGCCAAGTCCTGGATAGTAACAATGAATAGTACCCTACAATGAATGCAGATGCAAAGCAAACAACATGAGTTCGAATGCACGGGGTTTTGTCTCAGTTTAGTGACTTATATGTTATATACATGACTGTCCATTGGTACTGAATGGTGCTTAAAATTAAGCCTTGCCAAATATTTTAGATAACATATTATTTGTGAGGCTAATTTCACGGTTTTATTATCTGATTTTACTGATAAACAATCCGGAAGACTTACGATCAAATATACAGTAGCGCACTGTTTAAAAAATGGCAAGTTTTAAAAATGTTTCAATAGACGACAGTTGGATGTGAACAAAACTCACTAATAATATATGCATAGTGCTTGGTGAGCAAGATAAATATAAATGATAATGTTTAGATTGCTGAATGATATTTGTGATACGACAATCTGGATACTCGAAAGTCTAGAATGGCTGATGCTCTTACTCATCTTGTGGATCTGTCGATTGTAGTTCTGGCGGTAGGCAATTCCCCGGAATTCTTGGCAACAGTATTCATCACTGAACATTGGATGCTGGCCCTCACTGTTTTAGTCGATTTGTTTGTCTGAAGGCTTCTGGTCAAGCATCCACACCATATGGCGCGCCATCGTGTTACGTTCGTTGGTGCACGACTCCCAGCTAGTGAAGCAATCATTTCTAACTCCGACTTGGTCCCGAAGTATGATTCATAATTCGGATAGTCAATTCTGTTGTTTCGCTTTGCCTTCGGTCTATGAGTTGCGGGTCAGCGCCAACACCCTCAGCCCCTAAGCAGTAAATGCATGAGCGAAATTTTGGGGTGGGGGAAGAGGGTTGGCTGTTATGATCTAAATTGATCTATGGCTTAGTGAGTGAATTCAAGGAAATCTTAGGGGAATATAACAGTTTATTCTAGGCCACATGCTTTAGCTGTAGAATACTTATCAAACCTCCACGTGCCTAAATGACAAACACCCTAACTTCGGTTAACCGGTAGTTCGTTTAATAAAAACGTACGTTGGGCGCGAGGCCCACAACTCCACCCCCACCTCCGTGAGAAAAGAATTTGGCAACAACCACAGAAACTTCAAAGCTCAAAGCTTGGAGCTGCGTTTTCCCAAAGTAATGAAATAGATAATTCAGAACGCGGTTAGTGGGTTTAAATGTATCTCGCTCCCTTAAACCAAAACAATGGGATGAAATGTCTAGATAAACATTCCTAGTAGGCAAACGCCACCAAGCAAAGACTGGCACAACTGGACAGATTTCAGAGAGCCATGGCGTGTGGTGAGTGTTAATGTATTTCGTTTAGTAACATAAATGTCTTTCTTCTGATAGCCAAGATGTTGGTTGTTTAGCCATATCTTCACGCTCACCTCCATTTAACATGATTAACTTCAAGTGTGGAAAACTCATCCAGAACAATATTCGCACTGCCCCCGAACAAACTGAATGTCTGGCAAGAAGTGACGATTTTAATCCAACTCTCTATTCTCCAGTGGAACATTTTTGTTTGACAGTCTTCTGATCCCCTAACAATTTAGTTCGTAATCAGTACAGATTGTGCAATCAAGAACTGGCCGTTAGCTTGTAAAATATTAAGCTAAGCATTTTTTTCTTCCAATAATACTGAAGCGAGTTCTCATAAGCCTGAAATTTTAGACAAGAAAACGAATAGGTTGAATTTTGATTACAACACCTTCTACAGCCAACTCTAATGCATCAAGATTTAGATTAACAGTACGTCAAACAAAGATGCGTTATTTTTACTGTATTCGTTATCTTCGCGGCGATTTGTTAGATCCCTGCAACACGTGATGATATGATCATTCAAAGGTAATTAGGGATTAAGAAGTTGAAAGGATCAGATGAGCAGCCAAGTAGAAGCTACATCTCCCTCATGACCTCCGAGTTTCCTTTGTCTACTGAGTAAAGAATGCCCTTCGGTGTGTTTGGCTGCGTTTCCTCGCTTAATTGCCAGTTGCTATGATTTAAGGAAAAAAACATTCAAAAATGACTCATTCTTCTGCAATCACTGGTTGTCATGAGGCAGCCTGATTGATTATCTTTTGGAATATTTGGTTTCTAAATTGGTCAGCCAGTTTCATTCTCATCACCCCACCTACTTTACTACAGTTAACCGCAGTCAATATGTTTTTGGTTAATTGATTGTCTTTCCGGATTTCTTTCATTCTCATATACCCTTAATTTTAATTTTTCTACCCACTGCAATTTCTCATTCGCTAAACATGGAAACTGATATCGAAAGCTCTGCTTCTGTAGAGGCAGATTTTTCACATCTATTAACGTTAGTGTTACGTCTAATATTGCGCCTTAAAATACTAAACTGGTGCCTTTTAATTTTTTTTAATTTTTCGTAACAGCTTGATTCCACACTGTATTTTTGTTACAAGTATGGAATTTTCAGCGTGGATATCGGTAGCCCAAATTTCGCAGGCCGACCATAGATATCTGGTGTGCGCCGGTGTGGGCTCGAACCGCGGACCATGTGCATGGTCGTCGAGAGTTCTATCCACTGTGCCTTATATACCACTTCGCATTTTATGCTAATCAAACCATTTGTGGTCCATTGGACTATTGTTCATTTTTATTTGAATGCCAATTTTCGTTAACAGCTTGTAGGGGCAGCATGGTGATTGGTTCCGCCATAGGGTTTGGCGGGTGGTAGCAATCATTGGATTCCTCAGCTAACGTCTTATCCATCTTCACTTTCTTCAACATTTTGTTGAGCAACGAATTCTTGACAGGTTCCTTAAATAAATTTCATTGCACTAAGTGTTTCTGCTCATCCGACCTTCAGGGGTTAATAAACGTCTGCAGATTGTTGGAAATACTTTGCGTTACAGGCGCGCCAAGTTGCTGACTCATGTAGAATAACTGACTTAACGTTGGTGCTAAAACTTCGAATTCTGATCTTTATACTGACGGCGGAAAATTTTAAAACTGATTTCAAATTGGTGAATCTGTACTTCCATTCCGATTCAAGCTTCGACAACTTTACTCCTGCTGTCATGTGTACATGAAAGAATTCTGCCCAAGTAATTCCCCTCAATTTTATTCCGTTGATAGTGACTGGTGCTAGTTATTGTTGGTTGATTACCTACATCACCTCTGTCTTCTGAGTGTTTGCTTGAAGTCCCGTCTTTGTTATGCCCTTATGCCAGACCTTCAAGTCTTCGAGTTTGCGCAGCATCAACATTAGTCATCCGCAAAATCCAAACATTTAGTAGTCTTGTCATCGGTCAAACGCATTCACCTATCCTTGCTTCCTTTAGTTTGACGCATAATCCAGTCCACCACAAGTAGGAAGATCATCACTGATAACAGGCAGATGGGTTTTTCGTTGCTGACCACTTGACACGTGTCACTTTCATTCAGCAGTTGAGAAACGTTGATGAAGATTTGGGGCACTGCATGCCATACTGTTTAATTAATTGATTAGCCTCGTCAAAATCAATGAAGCTGAGGGAGGGAAAGACTCAACTCTAATTCCATTCTCTGTTCGACATGGTTGCGTGGAGTTGAAATTCGGTC